CTCCATTGCTACGGGCCCTTGGTGAGGCAGAGTGTTACGGTGGCAAGAGCAGAGCTGCTCATTTCATGGTAACTAGGAAGCAGAGAGAGAGTGAGAGAGACACGGAGCAAGGGACCAAAGCCAAGGTATACATTCAAAGGTACCAGTGAAGTTTGTGCCTTCATAATCCAGTCACCTCTCAGTGTGCCACCAGCTAGGGACCAAGCCTTTGACACATGAGTCTTTTAGGGGACACTTTATATCCAAACCATAGCAGACACCAGTTCCGTTCACAAAGGTTCAGGACCTCAAAGACTGCACCACCTAATACCATCTCATTGGGGATTAGTTTTCAATGGAGGAATTGTGGGAAACACAAGCATTCATTACTGCATTAGGTCTTTTGGCATATTGGAGGTCGCAGGTGTTGTGGTTTTTTTTTTTTTTTTTTTCCATTATTCATAGGGTCTCAAGATGGTCCAGAGGTAGCAGGTTTTTTCCATTATTCAAAGGATAATTACAGTGAAGGTCCATTTTTGCTTTTGTTTTTTGTTGTTTAAGGGCATGCTTTTTGTTTTGTTTTTGATGGGACTGAGGTTTGAACTCAGGGCTTCATGCTTGAAAAGCAGGTACTATACCATTTGAGCCACACCTCTAGTCCATTTTGCTCCAATTGTTTTGGAGATGGGGTCTTGAACTATTTGCCTGGGCTGGCTTCAAACTGGGAACTTCTCAATCTTAGCCTCCCAAGTGGTTAGCCTGAGCCACCAGTACCACCACCCTCCTCACATCTGATTCCCCCCACCTGCACCCCCTGGACTGGGGATTGAACTCTGGGCCTCACAGGCCTTGAACCTTGATCCTCCAGTCTTAGCCTCCCAGATGACTGGAATTGCAGGCGTGAGCCACTGGTGCCCAGCCAAAGGGTGTACCATTTTATCAGAAACCTTAAAAGCTTGTTAGACAGAACATAATGTCTTCAATCAAGGCTCTTGTCTGGCCTATATGGAGGTAAGGAGAGAGATGGTACAGAAAATGATTGCTCAGTTTGGCAAGAAGACCTCTAACAATGAATGCTCTTCAGCTAGCTTATCTTTTGACACAACTTCTTCAGTGGGTCCCAGAAAGTCTGTTCTGGGAGATTGTCATATTCATCTGCCATAATCTGCCGGAATCCTTTGATGGTCTTCTTTAGGGGTACCAGCTTTCCCATATGACCTGTGGAGACCTCAGCAACCTGGAATGGGTGAGACAAGAAACACTGTATTTTGGAGCACAACTTACCTTTCTCAGAAAGTTCATCTGTACCCAAGATGGCCCTGATGTTCTGGAGAGATTTGTAGTCCTGCAGGATCTTTTGCACCCCACAGGCAACATCATAATGCTCACTGCCAACAATGTAGGGACCCATGATACAAGAGGTAGGGTTGAGAGGATCTACAGTTGGATAGATGTCCAGCTCACCAATAGCATGGAACAGCACGGTGATAGCATCCAGTGGGCAAAGGTAGCGGCGGGATGGGTTTGGTCATCAGCAGGCACATATAAATAGCCTGTACAGAAGTGATAGAACCCTTCTTGGTGGTGGTGATTCTTTCCTGCAGAGTACCCATGTCACTGGCTAGAGTAGGCTAGTAGCATACAACAGAAGGGATTCTGCCCAATAAGGTAGACACCTCTTGAGCCAGCCTGGGCGAAGTGAAAAATGTTGATAAATAGCAGTACATATTGACTTTCTTTGTCTCTGAAATAATCAGCCACTGCCAGTCCAGTCAGAGCAATCCAGGCAAGCATCAGGTGGTTCATTCATTTGACCATACCCCAGTGCTGTCTTGGAAGTAGCACCTTTTAAGTTGATGCCAGATTCAGTCATTTTATCATAATGTAATTGACCTCATGCATCCTCTCAGTAACACCAGCAGACACATAGTAACATGGCCTTCGGAGACATTGTTGATTAACTACATGATCAGCACAGTCTTGCCAGTTCTAGCATCACCAAAGAACCCAATTTTGCCACCCGTGGCATAGGAAGCTAACAGATCCACAACCTGAATACCAGTCATTAGAATTCCCTGCTCAACACTCATCTCTGTGAACTCAGGAGCCTCAGTATGAATAGGAGCAAGTTGTCTGGGTGTTTTAGTTTCTTTTTTAGAATGGGAGGAGACTAGGTTTTGAACTCAGGACTTCACACTTGCAAAGCAGGTGCTCTACCATTTGAACTACACCTCCAGTCCATTTTGCTCTGGTTATTTTGGAGATGGGGTCTCACAAACTACTTGCCCAGGCTGACCTCAAACCATGATTCTCTCAGTCTCAGCCTCCCACGTAGCTAGGACTGTAGGTATGAGCCACTGGCACCTGGCACTTGTTTGGTTTTACCACTTGAGTCATACCTCCAGCCCCAAATATTTACTCTTCTTTAGGGGGAGGGGCACTGGGGTTTGAACTCGGGCTTGGCCCTTGCTAGGTAGATGCTGTACTGCTTGAGCTACGCTTTAAACCCCCAGCATTTGTTTGGTTTTGATAGGCCCTCCTCATCAATAGATTCTCCAGCGATACTCATGATTCTGCCCAAGCATCTGTACCATCCATAGCGATGGTTCTTACTATACTCTCACCCAAATGTTGAGCCACCTTCAAAACCAGCCCAGTCTTCCTGCCTTGTATTTCCAGGGCATTTAGGATGAGTGGTAATCCCTCAGTAAAGTGAACATCCACCACTATGCCCATGACCACTTTGATGTACCTGGTGGTTACAAAGGCACTGTATTTGTTCTAGCTAACAGACAAAAATATACTGGAGAGAACAGGCTGGGTCTCTGCTGGAGTGACTTGCAGTAAAAGATAGACTTGGGGGTAGTAACACCAACAGGCTGAGGCCCTGAAAGGCACTGGAGGCCAACACAGCAACTGCATGACTCATTAAGACTCAGTATGTTAGAGTCTGGATGGAGACGGAGCCTGTTTGGTTTTTTTGAGAGAGGATCTTACTATGTAGCCTCAAACTTGCAGTCCTGCTTCAGCCTCCTGAGTGCTGGAATTACAGGTGTGTACCACCACTCCAACAGATTTCCACTTTGGGGGATGGGAAGGGTACTAGGGTTTGAACTCAGGACCTTGTACTTATTAAACAGGTCCTCTACCAATTGAGCCATGCCCCGAAACTTGCTTTTATTGGTACCAGGTAGGTGCATCTAGTACCCAAAAATGCTGTTTATTAACGGAGGAGTAGGTGGACAGTTTCTTTCCAGCTGTTTGAAGAAAAATGAGGTGGTAGGAGGATCCTGATGACTTGTCCAGTATACCTCCTGGGAGGCCCAGGCAGTGAAGTGAACTTGTTTTTTCAATAGAGTTTTACCTTTTTTTTTTTTAAATGGGCCTGAGTGTGAACTTAGAGCTTGGCACTTGCAAAGCAGATGCTCTACTGCTTGAGCCACATCTCCAGTCCATTTTTGCTCTGGTTGTTTTGGAGATGGGTCTTGCGAATTATTTGCTGAGGCTGGCCTCCAACCATGATCCTTCTGATATCAGCCTCCTGAGTAGCTAGGAGTACAGTGTGAGCCACTGGTGCTTGGCTAGTTTTACTTTCTAATACCAGGCCTGAGATTCTGCAGGATCTTCAGGATAACCACTTGTGAAGTTTTCAAAAAGAAAGAAAGAATTGCAGATGCCATCCAAGCATGGTAGTGCGTGCATGTGTGTAATCTCAACACTTGGGAGGCAGAGGCAAGAGGATCACAAGTTTGAGATCAGCCTGGGCTATATAGTGAGATCCTATCTCAAACAAACAGAAAAGAAACCCGGATGTTCGGCCTTCTCCCAGCTTTTGTCTTCAGTAGCTCTGATCTAGGCAGCTGTATATCTAAGAAGTACCAAGGAGTTTCTGAGGCTCGCTAGGGCCCAACACCACTTACAAGGAACTGTGCCTTGAAAAAGAATAAACCCTTTTTCCCCTCCAGTTCCAGCCAGGGGTTGGAAATTAGCAGGTGTAATAACAGACACAAAGGAGGGTTGTCCTGGAGGAATCAGGAATGGTTTCTCAAAAAGGAGACACTGACATAAGAGTCCCCAGGCAAGGGGCCTGGTACAGGAGTGGCTGTTCATAGTGGCCACAGTGGAGAGATCTTCTGGGTAGATGGGTGAGACAGGAAAAACTGGCACATCTCAGAAAGGATCTCTAATACTGAGAAGGGCCTCTGTTTACTCTCAAGCCATTAATGACCAGAAGGAGATTAAGGCCTACTTAGTGGAGTTTAATTCATTTCTGAAATTTTACATTTTTTTTTAAATTGCAGAGCAGCTTTACTTTCTTTTCTGCGGTCTTTATATCTTCCTTCTGTAGGCCCTGTAGCTCTAAGTGAGACCCATATGTTGGCTCCCTGAGTTCCAGCCGAGTAGGTGTCTTTCTGCATTAGAGGCGCCCTTTGTTAATCATGTGCTTTCATCAGGCCTGCTTCCCACACTGTAAAACATATGCAATAGGTGCCCTCAAGGGGCTGAGAGGCTTGGTTGAAAGCAGAGATGTGGAAGAGCTTTGAAAACAAGTCACTCGGGGCTGGGGATTTAGCTCAATGGAAGAGCGCTTGCCTGGCAAGTGCAAGGTCCTGAGTTCGGTCCCCAGCACCAAAAAAAAAAGGAAAAAAAAATAAACATCTCTGAAAACAAGTCACTCTTCAGATGGCTGGGTTAATGACATTTTGGGGATATGCTTGTTTTAATTGATCAGCATTGTTTGGAGGTTATTGTCCGCAGTGATGTCTCACAGCATGTGATCTCGGAGCAAAGCAGTCTTAACTAGTGATGGAAATCTCCAGGCTCTCCTTTTTAATTTTGTTTATAATGCAAAGCTAAAATTCCTGAAGCAAGAAGTCTTTACTTTAGGTAGGCTTAATTGTTTACTCTGGCACAGGCAGAGTTTCTCCAGGACCTCCTGTATTCCCTGTGTTCCCATGACTTTTCTCCATGAGTTGCTGTTGATATCTAGATCCTTTTACTATTGTTGTTTGTATTTGCAGGATCAGTGCTAGACCAGGAGTTGGAAGTGTCCGATCTCGAGTTGGGATCCAGCAGAGTCTTCTTAGCCAGCCAACACGTACAGCCACCTTCCAGCAGAGATTTGATGCACGGCAAAAGATTGGCCTCTCGGATGCCCGGCTCAAGCTGGGAGTCAAAGATGCCCGGGAGAAGCTTTTGCAGAAAGATGCTCGGTTTCGTATCAAAGGAAAAGTGCAGGATGCCAGAGAGATGCTGAACTCCCGAAAGCAACAGAGCACAGTGCCACAGAAGCCCCGGCAGGTGGCGGATGCCCGGGAGAAGATCAGCTTGAAGAGGAGGTCCCCTGCTGCCTTCACAAGCCCTCCCATTGGGACAGTGACCCCTGCTCTGAAGCTCACCAAAACCATCCAGGTACAGTGCAGCTTCTGACATAGATTCCCATAGAGCCAGGAAGAAAGGTAGATTAGGCAGGAAGATTTGGTGAGTGGGCAGGAGTGTTTAGGGCAAAAATGCACTCCTCCCAAGTGTTGGTACAGTACTTTGCTGCTTCTGAACACTTTTTTGGGGGGTGCCACTGGGGTTTGAACTCAGGGTCTCACGCTTGCTAGGCAGGCACTCTACCACTTTGGTCACTCTGCCAGCCCTTTTTTGCAGTTAGTATTTTTGAGATCGGGTCTCATGAACTATTTGCCTGGGCTGGCTTTGAATTGCAGTTCTCCGATCTCTTCCTCTTGAGTATCTAGGATTACAGGTGTGAGCCACTGGTGCCCAGCATGAATGCTTTTTATGTACATTGTAGTCAAAGTAAACCATATGAAGAAAACAAGGTAAAATACCTTTTTTATATAAAAGGGAAGGTTCAAAGAAATGTAGCGACTTTCCACTTGAGAAAGTAAAGGGAAAGGCAAGGAAAGAATGAAACATGTTGAGCATATGCTATCTGTCAGGCACTTAACAAATTTGATCTTATTTATTATTTGTACCAATTTTAGGATTATTACCCCAGTTTTATAGAAGAATGAGTCTCAGATATGCAAAATACTGTGTTTAGCATTACACAGCCAGTCAGTGAGAAGACCAGGGTAGGAGCCAGTCACATCTGACTAGTAGCCCAGTGCCCTGACTACTTTCACCGCCTCAGTGGGAAAGGAAGCCATTTTAATCTCTAAGGTACCTTCAAGAACAGGCAGCAGCAGCAAACATTGATGAGGCCAAGTTCATTAAGCTGTGCATGTGCATTACTGCATGGACTCTGGGATGAAGCACGTTTCCTGCTTGGGGGCCAGTCACACTAGTTTCTTTTACCAAAAACTCAGGCTGCGTGTCCATTGCATTTCGAGTTGAGTGACCCCCTACTCGGAGAGAATGCATGTGAAGCCTATGGGATGGACAGTGACCTTTGAGTATTTCTAGGTTCCACAGCAAAAGCCCATGGTGCCACTTCATGCCCATCCTGCTGGAATGAGGATCAACGTTGTCAATAACCACCAGGCCAAACAGGTAGAATGAATGTGTGTGTGTGTGTGTGTGTGTGTGTGTGTGTGTGTGTGTGTGTGTGTGTATAGATATATAAATTTTTTTTTTTTTTTTTATGGAAAGGATTATGTTGACACAGGATCTCACTATGTTGCTCAGGCTGGCCTCAAACTCAGTTATCCTCCCGCCTCAATCTCCAGGGGACTAGGATTACAAGCTTGTGCCACCATGCCACCATGTGTGGCCAGGCATGTGTTTTTGATGAGGCCTGCTTGAGTAGATTGACTAAGGCGTAACCCAAGGCTCCCAGTTCAAAGCGTTGGAGGAGAGATCACATTTGACTTTGTAACTTGTGAATTTCAAGAGGGGAAGCTTGAGAGACAGAAAGGCAAATTAAATTGCTTATTGATTTTTTTTTTGTAGTGAAAGCAATAATGAAGTTTATTAGGAAAGGAATATATTTTCAGTAGACCAAGAGTGGGTCATCTTTAGAGTGAGAATGGGAACAATTATTTTTACCATGGCTCCAGTTTTTATTGAAGTGGATAGTGCTTAGAGTGTTAAGTCCCTCCCTAAAACCAGCCCAGGAGGCTGGGTCACAGTTAAGGTCAGAAATCTAGGTAGGTCTACAGATTGACAATGTACCAACTATTATTGGTATACCTGATCCCTAGGGTCTGGTTTACAGGCCTGGGTTTTTGTTTTGTTAAGATCTTTTGTTTTAGGAACTGATGCTAACCCATCTTAGGGTGTGTGACTCAAAAATACCTTGTGACATCCCATGAGCTTGTGGGATATTTTGATCTTAACAGAGGCTGTTAAATGTTTTTTCTCTCAGATCTTGAAGAATCCTCCATTTTGGGTTTTCTTTGCATATTCCCCAGTACTCATGACTGACTACTGCTCCACTCAAGAACTAGAAATCCTAAAATTTTTTAGGAAATGGAAAGTCAGTCTGGCTGGAATGGGGTGTAGGCCTAGGTCAGGAGTCTCTTGTCCTTGCTTTCTGTGGTTGGGGACAGCAGGGATCCCTTGGAACCTGTGGTAGCTATGTTTAAGGAGAAGGAGTCCTGTTTAGAGTTTAGTAGAGTTAGCCCTTATGCTAGTAGTTTTATAGCCTGGAGATGAGAGGAAACAAACTTGGTTAGAACATTAATACAAGGTTTAATGTGGAGCATCTGGATATCCTGGAGCTATAGAAATAGTAGGTAATTAAAAAGGCAAGAGTGCACGTTTCTGTCTAATTGGATGGTAGACAGGCATGGACATTAGGTAATCATGCTTATGAACCTCTTCTCAGCCTCTCGGCTTTAGTTGTTTTTGGAAAGGCTGGCATAAGTGACTTCATTAAGAATATGAGAAGTTCCCCTCTTGTCTCAACAGTTTTTTGTTTTGTTTTTGTTTTAAACTGACTCTGAATGGTCCTTCATTGCAGGAATAAGATGTCCCTGTAGGTTTTTCCTCATTGTTGGGGTGAGATGTCCTGGTTGGTCTGATTTGATCCCATATTGGAGGGGAGTGATAGGCAGGTCAGGTGGGAGTCTGTGCTAATAAGACCCTTTTGACCAAATTTAAGCAACAAAGAGGTTTAGAAGGAATGGCTCATAGGCTGGAGTCCATTGAGTTTGCCTTGTTGTAATTAGGAACACTTGGTCCTAAACCTGCCAAGAGGTTACCATCATTACCAGACCCCTTAAGGTCCACTCATACCCTTTGCAACTTTTTCCGAGCCTCTGGTTTTTGTCCCATTCTGCTTTTCTGTTTTGGTACAGTCCTGTAGGATGAAGTTCATTTTACAGAATCATTTCTTATCCAAAAACATTTTTCCTTCTCTTTAACTTACTTTCTCAAAATAGCCTTCCTACTTGCTGATTCTTTTCTGTCTCTATCTTTTCACTTTGAAATTAGACCAAATTGTTTCTTTTCCCAGTAAACCTTTAGTAGCATGTATTGCAATGAAGAAACAGGAAGAAAGCAATCTTAAAATGTTTTAATAATTTACAAAAACATGTTAATAGACCCACGTATGTAAGAAACAGATTAAGATCATGTATCTGAACGATTTTTTTAGATCCCTTTTGCCACTTTGCATTTTAAGATTGCTACCTTTTTCCTTTAGTTCACATCTGAAAGTTAATTCCTGTTTGTTTGCATTTTAGTTAGGCCTACCTAAAATAAAATAACCAATTTTAGAGTGACAACAGTAAGTTTTATATATTAGCTTTATAATGACAGCTTTAACAGCCATGCCATAGGTGTTTATACATACATGCACATTCGCACAAAATCTTAAATTGGGCATGCTGAACCTGACACATGCATAAAAATGAAAACACCGGAAAAATCAGCTGCAGTAAAAAGCCATTTGTCTGGAATTGCGGGGGCAAAAGGAGTTTTTGCCAATGCTCGATAAATTGATGCACAAAAATGACACCTATAATAACTTATGTCAATTTAGAGTACTTAGACCTTTTAGCTGTGGGTTAATTACAGTCCTCCTTATGGGGCAACAAGATGTCTGGCAGAGATGGTTGCTGTGGAGTTGGGACACTGGAGAAGGTGTGGTGGGCCTGTCCACGGCAGCTTCATTTCCCATTAACCACAAGGTTTTTCCAGAGAGCTTTTAAAAGGTGAAAGATTTATATGATCTGAAGAGAAACCAGAGTATCCAGAGAGCTTTTAGATGGAGCATAAAGCCATGTTATGCAACATACAAACACAAAGTGAGCACCAAACACAGAACAAACAAATGGAAATTTTGTTTTTCTTTTGTTGGGCCCGAGAGACCAAAGGGAGTGAAACCAATTTAAGAGGCTCTCCCAAACTAGAGAATACCCTGGGGAGTGAGGTAAGACAACTGGGAGACTTTAACTAGCAGCACAAAAAAGGGGGAAAAAAAATGAGGAGAGCAGAAAGCTTTTCTTCAAAGCAGAGGGTGAAGAACAAAGTCAAGAAGACAAGGAAAAGGTTTAATCACTTAGGAAACATATCAGAGACTCAGGAGATGATCTATTAGACCTTTGAGAAACATTAAATGTGGAAACAGATCTTGAGCCACTTTCTGATTAGTGGTAGATGAGCTAGTCCTATAAGTGGAGAGGAGAAACCGCACCACATGGACAGTGCTTAGAAGGAGGGGAAAGAAAGACTGGGGGAAAAGCACCTGCAGAGGCAAGCAAACAGGCAAGTCCTCAGCTCTGACAGAGTTGGGAAGGATTAGGCTTATCTTGTGTGGAAATAGATATAAGCAATCTGAGTCAAGGCGGAGTCAAGGCGTATTCAATTTAAGATCTTAGTCACAGCACCAAACATGTCACTTGAAAGTCATTACTGTATCTACGTCAGTCCTTGCATGAGAGAAGATTTCAGGCAAGACACAGAAATGTAGAAAAGTAGTAGTAAAGTTTATTAGGAAGGGAATACACTTTCAGTAGATTCAAAGTAGTCCTCTAGAACAAGACTGACCTGTTTGTCTACTATGTGTTTAGTTGTTTGTTTATTTTTTGCAGTACTGGGGTTTGAACTTAGCCTCACGCTTGCTAGGTAGGTGCTTTACCGCTGAGATACTTCACCAGCCCAGTTTATTGATTTTTAATTATAAAAGTTACATGTATTTAATGTAGAAAATTTGGGGGGAGGGTAATTCATGCACAGCCAAAGCCAGTCAGAGTTGAAAATTTGCCATACCTTCTTCTTGGGTGGGGTTTGTTTTTTTTTTTTTTTGACTGTACTGGGGTTTGAACTCATGGCCTCTTACACCTTGAGCTACTCCATCAGTGTTTTTTTATGAGCTTTTTCGAGATGGGGTCTCCCAAACTATTTGCCCAGGCTGGCTTCTAATTGGGATCCTCCTGATCTCTGCCTCCTGAGTAACTAGGGTTACAGGCATGAGCCACAAGCACCCGGCAGTGTGGTTTTTGTGTGTGTGTGTGTGTGTGTGTGTGTGGTTTTGTTTGGAGGGGGGGTTGTGCAGTGCTGGGATTTGAACTGAGTCTACACCTTGAGTCACTCCACCAACCTTATTTTTGTGAAGGTTTTTTTTAAGGTAGGGTCTCATGAACTATTTGTCTGGGCTGACTTCAAACCCTGTCCTCCTGATTTCTGCCTCTTGAGTGGCTAGGATTACAGGCGTGAGCCACTGGTGACTGGCTAATAATATACTTTTTTTTTCTTTTTTTCTGGTCATACTGGAGTTTGAACTCAGGGCCCCATGCTTGCTAGGCAGGTGCTCTCTACCCCTTGAGCCACTCCACTAGCCCTGTGGTTTTGTTTTGTCCTGTTCTGTTTTTGCTGTGCTGGGGATTGAACCCAGAGTCTAGCCTATACTAAGCAAACACTCTACCATTGAGCTACACCCCAGCCCTCCTTCCTGGGGTTTTAGTGTGTCATTACTTTTTAATACATAGTTACATTTGTGGTTATATTCTTATCCAGTTTTGTACCATTCTTGTTTTGATTTTGTAACTCAAGTATTTTCCTATGTTTCACATTTGCTGTAAACATTAACAACTGAATAATCCTCTGAATTGATCTAGTTTATTTAAAACATTTTTCTTATTGTCATTGTTAGAAATCCTGCTGTGAACATCTTTGGGGATAAAACTTTCTAGGGTTTGGACTTCTGTAGGCTAGATACCTGGGATGGGCTTTTCAAGCAAAAAGATATATAGTTATGTACTATATAGTATCGTTTTGGTTGATGACAGATTGTATATGCAATAGTATGTAGCACACAGCCTAGATGTGTAGTGATACCATCTAGGTTTGTGTAAGTACACTCTGTGATGTTCACACAAAAAAATTTGCCTAATGACTCATTTCTCAAAACATTTCCTGATCATTAAGCAGCACATGAAGTAAACAGATATTTTAGGAACTCTTCATAGATACTACTGTCTACTTATGAAAAGGTACTTCTGATCTAGGTGCTGGTGGCTCGCACCTGTAATCCTAGCTTCATGGGAAGCTGTGATCAAGAGAATCCTGGATCAGCGCCAGCCTGGGAAAATAGTTCAAGAGACCCCATTTCTAAAATAATCAGAGCAAAATGGACTGGAGGTGTGGCTCAAACTGTAGAGATCTGAGTTCCAACTCCAGTCTCACCAAAAAAATAAAAATAAAAGAATAACCAACACAAAAAGGACTGGCAGAGTGGCTTAGTGGTAGAGCAACTTGCAAACAGGAGGCTCTGAGTTCAATTCCCAGTACCTCCAAAAAAAAAAGGAATGGTATTTCTAGCCAGGCATCAATCACTTGGAAGGCTGGAGGCAGGAGGCTTAGAATTGAGGCCAGCCTAGGCTACATAGTGAGTTGTAAAGTCAGTCTGAACTACATAGGGAGACCCTGTTTCAAAAAAAAAAAAATACTTCTGGTATGCCTAGAAGTTGCGCAGCACTTTTTATTGGGCCCTATGAGTGGCAGTCACCCTGTCAGGACTTGGGCCTCAGACTCAAAGGCTAGTCTCCCCAGGTTCCTCCACCTCTTTTCCCACCTTCTCTCCTGATCCTTGGTGAACTCCAGCAGTCATTTCCCTGCTGGGCTTGTTCTAGATGTCTTTTGAGACCATACATGCTAGCTTTCTCTTCCTTTTTAGTTTTCTCTCATGCTGGGGATCAAACCCAGAACCTCAAGAAGTGTTTGATAAGCACAGGACCAATGAGATGCACCCCGCAGCTCAGCATGTATTTCTTTATTTTCAGAATTTATACGACCTAGATGAAGAAGATGATGTTGTAACACCCGTTCCTACTAAACAGATGAAGTTTGCAGCCTCTGGTGGCTTTCTCCACCATGTGGTATGGCATTTTCCTTTTGCTTACACTCATTACATGTGTTTGATCAAATGAATGGAGGGGTTGTAGAAATTAGGGCCTTTCACTGATTTGGACTTTAAAATTTTCAGAGCTGGACCTAACCAACCCCTTGATGTTACAAATGCTGAGACTGGGGAGTCCAGGGATTTGCTCAAGGTGCCCTAGCAAATGGAATGCAGAGCTGCAGTTCCCAGGCACTGTGCTTGAGACACTTGGGGGAAAATGTGATTGTCTTGGTCCCTTTTATGGTGCTGTAACAGTACCACAGACTGGATAAATTATAAACAGTAGAAATTTACTTGGCTCATGGTTCTGGAGTCTGGGAAGTCCAAGATGGAGGGGCTGCATCTGGTGAGGGCCTTCTTACTGAGTCAGGTGAGCATAAGCATGCAGAAGGCAGAAAAACCAGCCAAGCCCATCCTTCTAACCAGCCCAGCCCTGTGATAACGGCTCATTCATGGAGAGCAAAACATTCTTTTATTTATTGATTTATTTACTGTTATTTTGGAAATTAAATTGTAGCATTAGTGTTTGAGTGGATATTCAAACATAGCAGTGAGTAATCCCACAGGAGGGAACTCTAGTTTTTTTCCCCTTGTGACAGTACATTCTGCTGTGATCCCACTCTTAGATTCTGATTTCCTAGGTTATTAACAAGAATTAATCTCACCTGGCCCATGGGCTCCAGTAGGTGGAGCCTGTATCAGAGAAAGCTTGCTGGTCAGATGTCCCACAGAGAAATAAAGTGGAACTTTCTGCAAGCATCAGAAAGTCCCAGTGGTCCCACCGCTTTCGACTCAGTGGGTACAACCAAGCCACAGCACAGAGGCTGGTGGGCTGCCCAGCCAGCCAGCCAGCACCCCACCCCTCGCCCCTGCCCTATGGTGGCCACCTTTTTTTTTGTCTTTTTTGACTTTCAGAGATCCAAATACTCAGCTTTGGTTATTGTCCTGAGTAGACCAGTTTCCTTGTTACTGATTTAAGAGCTTTTTTGTTATTGTTTTGATGAGACTGGAGTTTTGAACTCAGGACTTCATGCTTACAAACTAGGCACTCTCCCATTTGGTCCATGCCTCTGGTCCATTTTGCTTTGGTTATTTTGGAGATAGGGTCTCTTAAAACATTTGCCTGGGCTGGCCTCAAAACTACAATCCTTCTGATCTCAGTCTCCCAAGTAGCTAGGATTGCAGACGTGAACCACCAGCTCCCAGTTCTAACTTAAGTTTAAAAGTGGTTGCCACATTGTTTCTTTATTAAAGGGCCAAGTCTGTCCATTAACTAGGTCATTTGAGTCTGTCATCAAGGGAACCATCAATTGGCTCAAGCTAGTGTCTAAAACTAATTGAAAAAAAGTGTTTATATTAATTCATTTATGATTTCACCTTTCTCCCACTCTGTGGTTTGGAAATTATTACATTTGTTTTAGGAATAAGGAAGCAGGCACAGAGAATTTAAATAAATCTGCTTACCATCAACCATAAGGAGTAGATCTAGGCTGGCGGAATGGCTTAGTGCTAGAGCCAGCCTAGATCTAGATAGTAGCTATAGGTAGTAGATCTAGTTGTTGGGCCAAAGTACTATGGCTCCCAGGGCCATGTGGGTAACCACTCCACTGTGCTGGCTCTTGAGGCACAGAAAGTGGCTTAAGAATCCAACCTGAGGGGGATGCTTCACCCTGACTTGGAGAAGCCTGGTGAACTGTCCCTGCCCCATACTTTGATCTGCCTCTCTGGCTGCTACATCCCTCCTTTCTTCCTGGGTTAGTACCTATAAACTCTGGCCTAACCTCAGCAAGAGCACCTGCTGCTTTAGTGTCAAGCATTTTTAGTTAAATCTGCTAGCATGTCCTTGACAGTCGGAGAGCTAAGGAGGCCAGGGTTGTGCATGGTGCCTCTGCACAGCCAGATCAGGGACCAAAAAACTGAGTTCTGGACCTTAAGGGTGAGGTCCTGTGGAAATAAATGGAGGGGATGAGTCCTTCAAGATACACCATATGGATATGTGGAATTACCACAGTGAAATCCCCATTATTATCAATGTATGATAATTCAAAAGTAAAATAAATGAAAAAAAAAAAAATGAGTGCCTGTCCCCAGCTAGCCTGCAACTGATGATCATTCCACTATGATAGAAGCTTACCTAAGAATGAACTTGACCTCAGGCTTTTGGCTTTCTGACCAGCTAGCTATAAATTGTAGGGTTTTTGGAATATTTGAATGATGTGGCCTGTGGCTCCTGGTTAGGTTTCTAGATAAAGCTTCTTGCCAAAACTTCCAACCCTGTGGAAAGTGGCTTCTATGTGCTTGGGCTGCGTGCTTTTTTTCTCCTCCTGCCCTTCCCCAGGGGATGTCAGGACAGCCAGCAGCATGTTTTGCTTCTATCTGCTAGTGAACATGATCTGGGAAGCAGCACGGGTCCGTCCTTTTAGCTAGCAGCTACTGTCACCCCCTCTGGCTTTTCCAGAAGAGTCTGGATCTCTGGCTTCTTAGATTTCTTTCTGCCTCCCTGCAGGCTGGGATGAGCAGTTCCAAGCTCTCCATGTCCAAGGCGCCCCCTCTCACCAAAGTGGTTCAGAATGATGCATACACTGCTCCTGCTCTCCCCTCCTCAATTCGAACGAAAGCCTTGACCAACATGTCCCGGACACTGGTGAACAAGGAGGAGCCCCCCAAAGAGCTGCCGCCTGCTGAGGTAAGGTGAAGGTGATCACTCTCCAGTCAAGAATTAGCCTGTGTTGGGTGGACAGTGTGCTATATGTACCCCAGAGGGTCCTTACAACACCTCTGTGAGGTAGCCGTTGCCATCTTCTTTTTACAGAGGAGCAGACCAAGACCCACAGACCCCTGTCCTCAAAGAACTTTCAGGCCAGTGGGGACACGGCACTTGTAAAGAAATCACCATCTATAGTGGCTTAGTAGAGGGTTTCCTAGGAGAGAGCGTCTAGGAGCCAAGAGAAAGAGTATCTTGGGCCTCTTGGGAATCTGGGAAGACTTTAGGACAATGTGTCATTTGATCTTTGATCTGGCTGGATTTGGAAGCATGAGTAACATGCCAGGCAGATTTGGGAAATGAGGAGAGTCCATTCCTTTAGTACATGGTGTGAGAGTGTGATGGGCACAAGGGTCCTAGGGTTCCCATTGTGGTGTACTCTGCATGAGGCTTCCTCTGGGCCTTCCTGGTTGCGTGTCTGAAGTGAGTGTTCTTGTGTGAGTGCACACCTGCCCTTTGACTCATGGTAATACTCTTGTCTGTGTGGCAGCCTGTCCTCAGCCCCTTGGAAGGCACCAAGATGACAGTGAATAATCTGCACCCTCGAGTCACTGAAGAGGACATTGTTGTAAGTACTATGGTCTGTCAGAATTTTCAGTCTCAACTGTTTCTGTGGTACAAGTCCCTAAGACCACACCTACTTTAGTGATTTGCTAGAAATCATAGGGTTTGATAGATCATCATGTTGGGGCTAAGGTTTATTACAGCACAGGGATACAGAGCAAAGTCACCATAGGGAAAAGGTGCATGGGGTGTAGTCTTGGGGAAACCAGGCTCAAACTTCCAGAGTCCTTCCAGTGGTGTCACAAAGGACGTACTTTATTCCTCCTGCAAGTTGTGACGACACACAAAACCATGGACCTCACTAAAGACTCGGTGCCCAGAGGTTTTGTTAGGGACGTTGTCTGCTTAGCATGTTGCAAATTTCTACACTCTACAGAAGGAAAGTAAGTATTTAGTACAGACCATTTTGTTTGCACAGTTTAGACACTGTGAGCCACTCTTACCAGCTAGGGTGGTGGGATCCCTCCTGAAATCAAAAGTTTTCAGACACCAACCAACAGCCTCAGGCTGACCTATCCTGGAGTAGCGGGGATGGTCTTCATGAAGAGGGATGCTATCCCTGCATGTAAGCCTTGGAAGTAGGCCTTAAATAAAACAACAGTCAGGCCATCTCTGTTCTCTCTCTTCACAGCTTCTAAACCAGAGCCACTTGCTTGTCCTGCCTCTCTGAGTCATGGGAGTGTCTGTCATATTGGATCCTAGTACTTCTGTGTAGCATCCAGTGGTTATTTTTCTTTGGGTTTTTGTTTTGTTTTACAGTACTGGGGTGTGAACTTGGCTTCTTACTTGCAAGGCAGGTACACTACTGGTTGAGGCTTGAGCCCCACTCCTAGCCTCCTACCACCACCACCCTTTTTTTTTTTTGGTGTGGTGGGGCAGTACTAGAGTTTGATTCAGGGCCTTGTACTTGCTAGGCAGTTTCTCTACCACTTGAGGCACACCCCCAGCCCCCATGGGCAAAATCTAAGGGGAACTTCCTGGTAAGTGGGAGCCTAGAACCAGCCAGGTCTTCCTTTTCGACCTCATTTTCATTTAGGTACTCAAAAAAGCCATTCATTTAGAAATCCGATGATCTGTCAGAATATAAAATGAATACAACTGGAGACTCCCAACTATTCCCTTCAGCCAAGTCTCAGATTCTGAAACAGCCCACGCTGGTTGACACATTCGATAAAGGTCTTAATTCTGAATTCATGATCACTGTGTGAGTGACTTTAGAACTAAAAGGTTCCACTTCTCCTTTTGTAAGCACAGTGCAGGCAACAGTGCACATAAGAAGAGAAGTGTAGCCTGCTTTGGGTAATACTTGACAAGTTACAAAGAATTAAAACTTTTCCTGATTATAAAAGTAATAATAGCTGGGTGTGGTTGTACACTACTGTAATTCCAGGAGACTAAGGTCAGCTTGGGTGACATAGCAAAACCTCAGTTTCAAAAAGGGGAAAAAATAACTACCATTAATTGAGCACTATGGACCAGGTGCCAGGTACTTTGTATGAAAGATCTCTGAAAGTACTTCGTGAAGGATTTCGATGTGGACTTGGGTGTGGCACAAGTGGTAGAGTGCTTTTCTAGCAAGCATGAGGCCCTGAATTCAATCCCCAATACTGCCCTCCCCACCAAAAAAAGGGAAAACGAGTTACCTACTGTAATGATCATCACTCAGAAAATTGCCAATAATAATAATTACCTTCCACTTTTCCACTTAAATAGCTAACATTAAAAAAACAATAGTAACAAAGTTGGGAACCACTTGGTTTTGATATTTAATATTTTCTCTTTTATCATTAAGTTGGTCAGCCTTTCATCACTGTGACAGATAACTTAAGGGAGGAAAGATTTGGTTCATTGTTTCACTCTGTGGTGCTCAGACCCATTGTTGTTGGCCTCTGGTGAGTGCCATCACCACACCATCATGCTGGTACATGATAGCAGAATATTAGCCCTCACAGACACACCCAGAGATGCACTTTACTAATCTAGGCATCTCTCAAGATTAACTTTAAAGCCTGGTGTGGTGGCTCAAGCCCATAATCCTAGCTACTCAGGAGGCAGAAGATAGTAGTTTGAGGCCAACCCATGCAAAAAGTTCCTGAGACTTCATCTTGACCAGTGGCTATACATGTTGGTGCATACTTCTCATCCCAGCTACTCAGGGAAGCACCAATAGGATTGTGGTTCAGTCTGTTCTGGACATAAGGAGAGACCCTATCTCAAAAATAATAATAATAATAATAATAAGGGCTCGCTGCTGGCTCAAGTGGTAGAGTACTTACATAGCAAGCATAGACCCTGAGTTCAACCCCTCAGTACTGTGTTTAAAAAAAAAAAAGTAACCATCAAAACAAATTCTAGGGCTGGGGGCATGGCTCCAGTGATTGAGCATTTACCTAGCAAGCACAAGGCCTGGTTCAATCCCTAACACTGTATAAAGAATAAATTAAAAGTTTTTTAAATAAAAAAATGAAATTATTCCAGGGACCTTTCCATAAGCCTTCTCTTTGTCTTCACAACAACCTGTGGAAGACAGTTACAGATGAAGAAATGACATACATGCTGATGGCCTGTGTTCTAGTCTCCACCTTGTATTCCCTTTCTGGTCAAATAAAATGAGGGGATGAGTTGAACATGTATGAAGCACTGCCTTAAAAATGATCAGTTGGGGTTCAAACCCCTGTACTACCAAAAAAAAAAACTTTCTGGGGACTGTGGACATGGCTCAAGTGTTAGCACACTTGCCTAGTAAGCATAAGGCCCTGAATTCAAACCCCAGTACCAACAACAACAACGAAAAAAATAGATCAGTTGGACTTTCCAGCAACCCCAGGAGGGAGGCTATACCAGTCCTTTTCTTACTTGTAGAAAAGCAAACAATCCTCCCAGAAGTTAAGAAATGTACAATTTGCCAGTTTTAGTGGCATATCCCAGTAGTCAACTAGGTGAGAAAGATGAGGCAGGAGGATCATGATTTCAAGGCCAGCTTGGGCTACACTTTTAAAAAAGAAAAGAAAAAAAAGGAAGAAATGTACAATTGATCACCCAGCTGATAAAGGCAGAGCCCCAGTCATCCAACCGTGCTTCTGACTTAGAGTGAACAGCTGCCCCTGTTTTGTTAGAGACCGCCCTGGTTTTTGCACTCAAGAGTCTCCTGATGGCCAGGCACCAGTGGCTCATCACTATAATCCCAGTTGCTCAAGAGGCAAAGATCACGAGGCTGGAGGTTCAACATAAGCCTGGGCAAATAGTTCATAAGTCCCTATCTTGAAAATACCCAACACAGGAAAGGGCTGGCAGAGTGGCTACAGTGGTATAGCGCCTGCTGCTAAACCATGAGACCCCTAGTTCAAACCCCAGTACCACCAAAAAAAAAAAAAAAAAAAAACAACAGTCCCCTGTTCTGGAAAACTCCTCAATCAACCCACTGAGGACCGAGGACTATTGGTGATCCTAAGTAGAACTTCAAAATTTGTCACCCTAACAGATGCCCAGGTGATATATTAGCAGCTGTCATTCTTTGGTGACCCTGCACACCCATTTTGTGACAGAGTTCTCTGAGAGTAATTCCATAACTGTTATCCCTGTTGAGGAAGGGGGCATTGAGAACTTTGACAGTAGCCCTGTGGGAGGTTAAAGGTATTAGTGGTCCCATACCCCTTTCTCACTACCAGTACACCTTGTTCCTTATCTGGTCCCAAGTTGAGACCTGTGAGTGTCTCAAGAATACCACCTGAAAGCCAGGTGCTGGTGGCTCACACCTGTAATTGTAGCAACTTGGGAGGCTGAAATCAAGAGGATCAATCAGCCCAGGCAAATAGTTCCTGAGACCCTTGTTTCCAAAACTGTCCAGAGCAAAATGGACGGGAGGTAAGGCTCAAGCAGTACAGTACCTTCCTAGCTAGCCATCGTGAAGCCCTAAGTTTAAATCCACCCCAATCCCATCACAGAAAAAGTGATGGCACCTGAAACAGAGCCTCCCCAAGATCTTGGGCGTGGCACACATTTAGCTGCAGTACTACCACTGCAGAGCCCTCAGAGTGTATGAATGGCAGGCAGTTGGGGATTCTTTCCCAACTTCAGCCTGTCTTGTTCTTTGCAGGAGCTTTTCTGTGTGTGTGGAGCCCTCAAGCGGGCTCGGCTGGTCCATCCTGGGGTAGCAGAGGTGGTCTTTGTGAAGAAGGATGATGCTATCACTGCATATAAGAAATACAACAACCGGTGTCTGGATGGTAAGTTGGAGAGAAAGCTACCACCTTACGCTTCTGTTCCTCTGTCTGCTTGCTGTTGGCAGCAGGTCATCCAGGGCAAGCTTTCCTCTGAGGTGGGTGGAAAGATATTCTAGGACAGCCACCCTTCTGGAGTCTTGTCAGCACCAGGGACAGGCAGGGATGGTATAGTCTAGTACAAAGCTGTGGGAGATACCATTTCGCTGTGGATGGATATCTTTAAAGGGCCTTGCCAGGGAAGCCAAGAGCCATATGCCACCCCCTCCACATGTTGGCCTGCTTTCTGCCAGAACACAGGTTCCTCAGAGACCTGGAGCCTTACCTAAATGTTGGCACCTGGGTGAGCTCTGTGCCCAGTAAGTAGCTTTATTCATCTCAGGGTAGCTTGTAGAGAGAGAGAGAAGCTCTGTCTGCCATGTTCCTTTTGCACTTCTGTTGTCATTGTTTTCATCCTAATGAATTGATCCTTTAAATCAATTTAAAGTTTCCTTCTTTATCTCTCTCAACATTTTTTTGTTGTTTTAAAATCCTTCATCTTTATAAGTATTAGGGTTGCTGTTTGATGCATCTTTTTCCATTCTTTCACTTTCAACCTTTTGTATCTGTGAATATAAACGTATATACAGGCATATCTCAGAGATTGTGGCTTCCATTTCAGACCATTGCAGTAAAGTGATTCACAGGAATGCTTTGGCTTTTCAGTGCATATAAAACTACAGTTACACTGTACTGTGCTTTATTCACTGTGCACTTGAACTATGGCTATAAAATGACAATAATCTGAAGCTTCAGCAGGTTGTTACTTTTTTCCTGGCGAGGGGTTTTGCCTCGAGATTGGCTTCTGACTGATGAGGGTGGTGGTTGTTACTGGTTGAGGTAGCTGTGGCTGGTTTCTTAAAATAAGAAGACAACAGTGAACTTTGCTGTACTGATTGCCTCTTCCTTTCACACAGTGCTTCTCTGTAATGTGCTATGCTGCTTGATAGCATTTTACCCACAGTAGAACTTCTTTCAGAATTGGAGTCTAACTCTAGACTTCGGGAGGCTGAGGCAGGAGGATCACTGGTTCCAGGTCAGCCTGAGCTACATAGCAAGACTGTTTCTCAAAAAGCAAATAAAAAACTGGAGTCAGGCTGGGGAGAGCTAGGGAGTAGAAAACATGCTTACCATGAGCAATTCCTTGAGTTCAATCCTCAGCACCAAAACCAGCAACAGCAAGCACAATACAAATAAACGACAGCAAATCTGGAATCAGCCCTCTCAAACCCTGCTGCTGCATTATCAAGTAAGTTCATGTAACATTCTAAATCCCTTTGTTGTTTCAACAGTGCTCATGGCATCTTCACCAGGAGTAGATTCCATCCATCTCAAGGAGCCACTTTCTTTGCTCATCCATAAAAAGCACCTCTTCAGCCATTAAAGTTTTATTATGGAATCACAGCAGTTTAATCATATTTTTAGGCTCGCCTTCTAATTCTAGTTTTCTTGCTGTTCCTATCACATCTGCAGTTCTACTGAAGTTTTAGACCCCTGACAGTCATACATGAAGGCTGGAATCAACCTTCCAAACTTCTGATAATGTTGATTATTATTATGACCTCCTGCTGTGATTTGAATTTTTTTTTTTCTTTTTTTGGTGGTAATGGAGGTGGAACCCAGGGTCTTGCTAGGCAAGTACTGTTCCACCACTGAGCTATACACCACCAACCAAGTGCGGTGCCTGATGGCATGAAGACTATCTTTTCACAATGTTTCCAATTTACTTTGCCCAGAAGCACTGTCTGAGGCAACAATAACTTTTTGTAGTCTTTCTTTTTTTTTTCTGAAGTTTCATCTTTTTTTTTTATTATTATTCATTTATTCACATGTGCATACATTGTTTGGGTCATTTCTCCTCCCTGCCTCCCTTCCCCACCCTATTTCTTTATTTTAAGTGCTCCTGAAATACTCAATAAACCATGTTGTAAACGTGTCATTATCGAGCCTTTATGGTTCTGTTGCAGAGCCCCCAAGAAATGTTGCGGGAAATTACTATCTGAGATACGGGACACTGAGGCAGATTAGCAGGAAGCAACTTTTATTGTGCTGGCACAGACTCAGCGGACTCATGTCCAAAGGCTGAGCCCCGAGAAGAAGAGGCCTCACCTTATATACCCTGCAAGCAGGTTACAGAAGCAAAAAGCAAAGCTGAACCCACTTGTGGCTGCATGTGTCTTCATTGGTTATTTTATTTCCCCAGTGCTAGGTGACCATGTTTCAATTCTAAGTTTTATCTCTCTGCTTTGCCATCCCCTCCCCCTGTCTCGTCAGAACACCAGCCTGTCTGTTTCTTTTCTGGCCTTCCTCCCTGCTACAGTTCCACTTACAGAACACAGGGTAGACTTAGGACAGTTCTATAGCCCAGGCTGGCCTCAGACTTGTAGTCCTTCTGTCTTAGCATCATGAGTGCTGGGATTACAGATGTGCACCACTAGGAAAACTCTTAAAGGTCATAAGATTTTCACAATGGTAAATGAGCATTGGCTTCACTTAAAAGTCACAACCATCATTAACCCATAACAAGAGACAGCCTATTCTTTGAAGCCAAGCATTGTCTTTTCTCTAGGTATGAAAGTCATAGATGGCATCTTCAATTGACAGGTCCATTTCAGCTACACTAAAAATCTATTGTTTAGTTGTCTTTACTAGGTCTTCTGGATAACTTGTTGCAGCTTCTACATCAGCATTTGCTACTTTACCTTGTACTTGTATGTTGCCAAGCTGGCTCCTTTGCATAAACCTTGTGAACTAACTTTTGCTAGCTTCATACATCTTCCCACCTCTCCCAGTCTTCATAAAATTAAAGAGAATTAGGACCTTGCTCTGGATTAGATTCAGGATTAGTGACTGCTGTGGCTGGTTTATTCTTCCATCCAGACCTCTGAAACTTCTTCACATTAGTGATAAGGCATTCATTGGAATACCACTTTTAATTTCCTTTAAGGATTTTTCATTGAGGGAGAGGAAAGATAAAGGAGAATGATGGAGGAGAGTGAATTCAGCTTTTGTAAGTACTTTTGTAAATGTCACAGTATACCCCCAGTACAACAATAATAGAAAGAAAGTGATTAAAAATTTATTAAAAAACAGAGAAGAGGAGGAAAAAAAGTTTGCACTCATAACTTAGCTGTTTGATACAAAAAGCCTAGCTTTGGCTTATCCCAGCTTTCAGCATACCTTCTACACTGAGCTTAGTCATTTCTGGCTTTTAATTTAAAGTGAGAGACATGTGACTCTCGAGTTGAATACTTAGGAGATCATTGTAGGGTTATTATTTGGCCTGAGTTGAATATAGTTGTATCTCAGGTTATAAGCAGGCCAGAGGAGAGGGAGAGAGATTGGGGTAGTGGCCAGTTGATGGAGCAGTCAGAACACACATTTATTGATTTGTTTCTAGCTTACAATACCTCAACGATTTTAAAAGTATGTCAAAGATTACTGGTCACAGACACCTTAACAGACATAATAATAATGAAATGTTTCAAATATTGCAAGAATTACCAGTGTTCTTCTTCTGTGGGTTTCTTTTGTTGCGTGAATATTTTTAGTAATGAAAGTTTTGCTATGAGTTTTGAATCATTTTCTTTGTGGTTGCTGAGGGTTCACAGGGTATGTTTATAATTTTTTCAAACCTGTTTCAGATTAATCCAGGCTTGATTCTAGTCAGATGTAGAAACTTACTCCTGTGCAGCTCTATTCTTTTTCTCTTTTTTGGAGCTTTTACTGTTACACATCATGTCTTATATGCAGTGGGCATGCATCCTGTATAGCACAAATTTTTCCTGGACAAGGGGAAGTCTATACATATGCACCTGCATCCTTCGTTCACTTCATAGCCTAGCATTTTCTCTTTCCACACACTTCACAAGCAGATTTGGGTGGCTTCTCACTGAGTACTTTCTGTCTCATTTCCACACTCCCCTCCTGTATGAAGCAAGGCTTGTTGCCTGTTTGTGTGAGGTTTCCTCACGCTCTGGGATTTTCTTAGTGACTGCATGTACTAATTTTCTTGAGACTTGGTGCTTTAAAAACAAAAGAGGTTTATTTAGCTCTCAGTTCTGGACACCCAGGGGTGTGGCACTGACATCACTTTGGCTCAGGTGAGGACTTCATTGTTACTGAACCCAAAGTCTGTTTTGAACATCTCACAATATGCCACTCACTGAGATGACAAGTTTTGCAAAAGAGAACAGGTTTATTCACAGTGCAGCCAAGCATGGAGTTTGGAGAGCATGTCTGAAATCTGAAGATAGGGTTTAGGGCTATTTATGGATTAAAGAATCAGGATGAGGGCTGGGGTGCTCTTGCCATGGACAACACCCTGAATTTGATTCCCAGCACCAAAAAAAAGAACTCAGAGTGATCTAAGACATGGGGAAAGGTGACTGGAGATAAGGAGAGTGAAGTAGTTGGTGGTCTGCACACGCATTGTTAGACTTCCGTGCCCTGCATAGGACACATCTTGGGGGAATGGCTGTGCTCAAACATTCGAAAGGTTCAGTTTTGGCCCCATGACTTCGAAGATTCACCCATCAAACACTTAGCAGGCTCAGTGAAGGGTTGGTGGTTTTAACTAGTTTAAGCTCACTCCAAGTACCTGGAAAAGAACTGAGGCAACTGTTACCATTATTGGAGCATATTACTCAGCTACATGACTCTAAAATTGATGACAAAACTGATAGCAAGTGAGACAAGCTGGGCATAGTAGCATAAACCTGTAGTCCAGCTACTAAGTAGGACTAATGCAGGAGGATTGCTTGAGCCTAGAGTTTGAACAGTCAGCCTGGGCAGCATTCAGATTTTCCCTTGGCTTCATCATGCCAGCAGCACATGGAGAAGCAACTGAATTGCTTCTGATTACCTAATCAGTCCCATCAGGCCCCACCTCTTAAAGGTGCTTCCCCCTCTCAGCCTTACTACACTGGGGACTGAGCTTCTAACACATGAGTCTTTGGAAGACAAAGCACATCCAAATCCATAGACTGGGTCTGGCTGATACCTAGTAGCTCTGTCTCTGGCTGTGGGGGCAAACTGCTAGTTGTAGACTTTGTTAGACAGGGTCTCAGTATGTAGTCAGGTTGATCTCAAACTCATGATCCTCCTCCTGCCTCAGCCTCCTGAGTGCTGGGTTTACAGGCTAGCACCACAGTAACCAGTGGTGGGCTTTGACCTTTGTCCTTTCGATGAGGAACTGAGATCTCATGACAGAACCTTTCTTTCTTTGTTTTTTCAGGGCAGCCAATGAAATGTAACCTTCATATGAATGGGAATGTTATCACCTCAGACCAGCCCATCCTGCTGTGAGTTCCAAAGGGGGGGCGGGGAGGGACTGGCTTTTCTGCATGTTTTCTCTTTTATTCTGAGGGAAAAGTTGCCTGCATCACAGCCGTTCTCTATCCTCTAGTCCATCTCCTCTGTTATGATCAAGGTGCTTCAATCAGAATTAAGTGCTTTGTCTCATCATTTCCCCAGGGATTGACCCTACAGGGGCTGCTCCTCAACCTTATAATTTAGAAGCAGCAGAGAGCAGGCCACTTCTAACCCCCCTTGCACAACTCTTTGTGTCTCCAAGTGAAAGAAAGCTGCACCTCCTTGTAAGTGACTGTGTTAGGCCAGTGCCACCCCTCATTTCGTTACACTCCGATATAATGCGCCTGGCCCACCAGGAGGACTTTTTGGAACCTAAGATTCATAAAATGTTCCAACTGGCAAGACACCATTTTCTAGATAAGCAGGCAGACAACCAGGAGGAAATTGACTTGCCAAGGTGGTGGACTCTTGCAGGGCAGGCCTGGAATAATAGACTTTGAGATTTAGAAACACTGGGATTTGAATCTGGATAATGAACGTTGTGATTTGAATAAATTTCTAAAACTGTGTTCCAGGAATAAGTTACGTTCTAAAAATGTTTTAGGGTTTTGTAACCTGGTGAGTTTGGGGATTGTTGAGCTAAACAGAGTTAAATCAGTTGTTACTTATACTAGATCGGGCATGTTCAGGTGGTATGGCTGTGGATGAGCTGTTATTAGGACTTTGGTCTTTATGGTATACCAGTGTGTGTTACCATGCAGTGTTTTCTAAACTTCAGCTTTAGTGCACTGCAGGCTGCATCTCGGTTTTCTCAGTGGTAAATAAGAAAAATACAGGTTTGCTACAAGATGAAGTGAGAGAAAGGGGTTTGGAGAGCACCATACCCAGTGCCTGTCCCAAAACAGATGTTTAGTGAGTATAGGGTCCTCTCTGAAGGGAAACTGACCAGGACTTGTTCTTATCTGCTCTCTACAGGCGGCTGAGTGACAGCCCCTCAGTGAAAAAGGAGAGTGAGCTGCCTCGGAGGGTGAATTCTGCCTCCTCTTCCAACCCTCCTGCTGAAGTGGACCCTGACACCATCCTGAAGGCACTCTTCAAGTCTTCGGGGGCCTCTGTGACCACACAGCCCACAGAATTCAAAATCAAACTTTGAGAGGGCAGTGAGGCAGCCAGAAGTGGGGCAGAGGAAGGTGGCTCTGTTTCCCAAGGCAAAGCTTGTGACCAATGGGCCGTCGGACTGAAGCCCCCTGAGCGTGGGAAGGGTCGCCAGGGGTAGAGCTTCCTCACTGGACAGGACCCGCCTTTCTGTGTTTGTGTTCTACCCTGTACTCTTCTGTATGTTAACATTTTTTCCTGTAGTTTGTTTCTTCTCCCTCCACCTCATCACCAAGGTAGGCCTGTGTTTCTCAGAATGTGCCTCCCTGCCCTCAGTCCCAAGCTGATAGCTTACCTGAAAATGGTGCACTAAGCTCCTGGATAGTGTTCTTATGGCCCTGTGGGAAGCAGGGCAGGGCTTTTGGAAGACATTGCTTTTTCCATGGGCAGAGAAATTGCCTTCCCTTCTCTTTTTTAAGTTTTTCAAACAAAGCAGGGAGTGAGAACCCCTGCTGTGCTAATAGGAGCCAGATCAGCTTGATAGCAGTGCCACTCACCCACCCAGTCAGTGGGGGTGTCCTGGGCAGGGATCAGGTCACAGGTCACAGGTCTATTGTCCTCTCTAGACCTGAGTACTGATCAGGTCTGTGGCAAGGGCAGGATGAGGCTCCTGCTCTGCTAGGAGCAATGTAACACCAGCTCTTGGCCTTGGTGGGGCCTCTGCTGTCTTAGGCAACCCAGAGTGAATTTCCAGAATCTGTATGTTTCCCTTGTTCTTGGAACAGTGCTGAATTCCCAAGTCTAGTTCACTCATCCTTTTGGGTGTCATTGCTGGATGAGGCCCAAATTATATCCCTCTTGGTTCTCCCCTCACCTGGTGGTTATCATACCTGGTTTTGGTGCAGGTGCCAGTTTCCTGCTGCTTGGGCCGTTAAAAGGCCCTGCCCCCGTTCTGCAGCTCTGTATGATGGGAGGTGTTGGCTTGCTTCTGGCTCTGCCTTTCTGCCCTTAGTTGTATAAGACAACAGTCAAAGATGCCAGCAGCATGTATCCAGCTGCCACCAAGGGACATTATCACACTCTTGAGTGACCCTTCAGGGGAGCAGGGCAGTCCTACCAGGCACACTGTGGCCGCTTCTCCAGTCCCCATCCCAGGCAGTTTGGGGCAAAGCTGTAGGACACAGGTGTGTGCTGTGGATGCCAGGGCAGCATTGCTCCTGGGGTCACTCAGCACACCCCTGCTGAATTGTTGGAACTGTAGAGAATCCAGGCTGTATGAACTGGAGCAGGGTGGGGAACAGGATTCCAGGAGCACTACAAAATCAGTAGCACGTGCTGAGAAAGGCACAAGCCCAGGAAGCAAAGGTAGCTGAGACCATGCACTTCTCAAGACTTGCTTGAGGCTAGCCCAACAAAGAGAACCTAGACACTCAAGTGCCCCAGAGTTAAATCTACCAAGCAGGAAGGATCCAGAGTTTGAGCCCAGCTTCAGTCCTCAGATTTCCAGGCCGGGGAATCCAGAAAGGGTGCCTGGGGTGCTCCACTTTCCCCTTCTTTAAAGATTGCTGCTTCTCTTCTCTCACCCTCTTGGAATGGTTCAAATGTATTTCTCTTTAGCAGCTGGAAGACATTCCTCCTATACTTTACCCTTCCTGACTCAAGAGAGCACCCAAAAGGCACTAGGGCCTGACTTCTCAAGTACTAGGAACAGTTGAACCACTGTTTGGACTTACATAGAACAGGGATGGTAGATGCCCTGCCTGCAGCTGTACCCTCCCCTCTTGTTCCCAAGCAGGTGTGCTCCAGTTGTCACAGAATTGCCCTGAGTTCAGCTGCAGCCTCCTGGCCATGTGGTGCATTGAGGGGAAGGAGACTTATTTGCCTTCCCTGCTCTACAGGATGTCTTCCTGGGAAACTGAAGAAAAGGTGGTTGGCCAACCCTGTGTCCTTTTCCCATTCTACATTACTCATCTGTGTCTTTTGTTCAGGAGAGGAAAAGGCATTAAGGGATGGAGGTGACTCTGTATTACTTTCCATTTCTGAATAAATGTTTGTTATTCCTACCTTTGAGCTGTAGTTTCTTAGATTGTGCTACGTGGTCTAAGTGAGAGCTGTCACCAGAAAGCAGGCATTTGCCTCTTTGTGTTACTGTTCACTGGCCATGTCCTTTGGGCCTTTCCTCCCAGAAATCATTGAACCTCAGTCTCTATAGCTGAGTGGGTGTAAGCGATAACATCTGAGAAGCACTTGACATGGGAACTCCATCTTCTAGGCCTGAAGTGAGCACAGTCCATTCCACCATAGTGTTAGAGCACTGTTTACAGGGAACTAGGGAGCCAGGCTGAGGTCCTTTGCCTTGCTCTAAAGAAATTCTACTCATGGGTGGAATTTGCCTCTTGGTTACTGATGACTGATTTCGTTGTATTAAAAAGTAGGTACGTGCACTTGGGAGGGGGAATCAGGAGGATCATGAGCTCAAGGTCAGCATGGACTACATGGCAAGACCCTAGTTCAAAAAACAAGTGCATAGGAAATGCACATCCCTGTCCGCCCCACTAAATACAATCCTGGACGTTTTGTATAAAACAATCCTAAGAGCCAGGCATGGTGGCACACACAAGTAATCCCAGCACGCAGTGGAGGCAGAAAGGTTGCAAATTCAAGGCAAATCTGGGCGCTATATCATGAACCTGTCTCAGGTGGACCGACTGGGGACGTCAGGACCCCAAGGAGTGACAAGAACTAAGTTCCCTGGGTTTTCATTTTGCTTCCCAGACCCTCAACTAGGTGCTGGACAAGCTAACAACCTACAACACCAACAGATACAGACCCATAAAAGCCCTCTAGCCAAGGGTGGAAACCCCAGCCAGACTTGTAGAAGGGATTGCAACCCCAGCCATCACCACAAAGGTCAAGTCGGGTGCCTAGACTGTTACTCTCCCCAGGCTGTACTGGGACACACCGAGACCCCTGCTAGGGTGGTGTCAGAGAAAACAGTAGGAGCTGGGAATTTCACTTGGTGTCAGTGGAGGCCACGTGGGTTGGAGAAATTAGGCAACCCCACCTTTGGGTGCTGGCAGCAGGACTAAGGGAATGGTGAGCTCACTCCCACCTAGCAGCAGCAAGGAGACCCATCTTGGGTATCAGCGGATGCCCTTCCACCCACGTGTGGCAATACACCCATGATGCCCTTCTGTCCCTGCCAGGGCAGTGTCAGAGGACTTGCAAGGGCTAAGTGAGATCCAGTTTCACAATAACACCTAAAACGTTCATGTCAAGATTGAAAATCATGCATACGAAAACCAGGAAAACTTCACTTTGAGAAAAAACAAGACATCGCCACCAATTCTAACGGAGACGTTAGAATTATCTGACAGGGACTACTTGTTTGTTTTGAGATCTCACTGTGTAGGTCTCCCTATGTAGGCCAGAGTGGTCTTGAATTTTCCGTCCTCAGCCTCCTGAATACTGGGATTATAGATGTGCACCACCACTCAGGGCTTTCTAACAAGGATTTTTTTTTTTTTTTTTTGGTTGTACTGGGGTTCAAATTCAGAGCCTCCAGCTTGCTAGGCAAGCTCTCTACCACCTGAGCCACACCCCCAGTCCTTTCTGCTTTAGTTCTTTTTTAGCTAGGGTTTTGATCTTTTTCTTGCAGTTGGTGTAGTTTAAGTGCTAGAGCGCTTGCCTAGCAAGTGTGAGGCCCTGTGTTCAATCCCCAGAAAAAAGTTCTGTATCCACAGAAAATGCAGTTTAGGAATTAGGGTTAGAACTATGGGTATGGTTCAAGCCCAGGGCCCCTCCCCCCAAAAATTAGGGGGAGTGTTTAAGCCTCAGATTGAGGGAAATGGAGATCTACCCTAAAAGAAAGTTTCTAAACGTAAAGGAAAAACAGAGAAGGAAACTTGGAACAATAGGAAGGAAGAACAACAGAATAAAACTATGGGTAAATAAAAGTCTTGAGTTTTTGTGTTGCTTTTTGCAGTGCTGAGACTTGAACCAGGTGCTAACACTATCTGATTATATAATTTGATTTATTGGTTGATTGATTGAGCAAGAGGGTCTCACTATGTAGCCCAGGCTGGACTTGAGTGCTGGAGTTGCAGGCATGAACCACCACATTCTGTTAAATTACTTTATAAATGGAGAGAATAAAGGATGCAGTGGAGCTGGTGTGGTGCATGCCTGTAATCTCAGCTACTTTGGAGGTGGAGATAAGGGGATCTCAAGTTCGAGATTGTCCCTCGAAATGAAAGTGAAAACAAGGATGGGGGCATAGCTTACATGGTAGGGCACTTGCCTAGCAAGCGTAAGTCCCTAAATTCACTCCCGGTACAGGGGAGATGATGTAAAGAGAGGGAAGGTTTCTAACAACCACAAGCTGCCAGAGTGGCTCAAGTAGTATTGCACCTGCCTAGCAAGGGTGAGGCTCTTGAGTTCGAATCCCCAGTAAGGAGGTTTGGCAAAGTAGCTCAGCTGGTAGAGGAACTGCCTAGCAAGCATGAGGCCCTGCGTTCAAACCCCCGTAACGCAAAAGGAAAAAGAATACAAGCATTGAAATGACTCGTGCTTCCTGATTTCAACTTGTTCTACCTAGCCATAATAACCACAACCATGTGGTGCTAGCATAAGGATAGCACATAGGTCAGTGGAGTGCAGTGGAGGCCAGAAAAAAGCCTCATGTCAGGTGGCAAAACCATTCCGGGGGGGAAGAAGTGTCTGTCTGCTTCACAGCTGGTGCTGGGGATGGAACCCAAGGCCACACGTGCCAGGCAAGCGCTCTACCACTGAGCCACACTCCCAGCCCTGGTATAACTCGATAGCCACAAGAAGTAAATATCACAGCCTGCCAACACACTAAACCCCATAAATTAAATACTCTAAAGGGGTAAATTTGAGCTGGAATGTGGCTCAGTGGTGGAGCATTTGCCTAGCATGGTCGAGGCCCTCAGTTCAATCCTCAGCACGGCGGGGGTGAAGTTTTGAGTTTTTTTAGACAAAAAAGAAAAAAGTGTGGCCCAGGCTGGCCTCAAATTGTCAATCTTCCTGCCTCAGCCTTTCTAGTGCTGAGATTACAGGTGTGTGCCACCATGCCCAGCCTAAATGGATACATTTTACAGTATATGCATTATATGTTAATAAAGCCGGTATAGGACTGGTGAAGTGGTTCAGATGACAGAGCACTTGCCTAGCAAGCATAACGCACTGAGTTCATACCCCAGGACCACCAAAAAAAAAATAAGAATCTTTAAAAAGATAACTTAAAAAATATTTTTCAGCAGGCTGGGTGCAGCGGTGTGCACCTATAGTGAGGCAGGAGGATCTGGAGTTGGAGGCCAGACTGGACAACATATGAGACCCTGCTCTCCCAGGAGAAAACAGTGGATTAAATCAGGGTAATTTATTTTCTCCACGCAGGTGGGCAGCATACAGCAGCAGGTCCCAAGGAGGGTGTGGGAGAGGGCACCAAACCAACTTCTGCTCTCCCCATCAATGGGAGCTGGGAACAGGGCAACCAGGCCGCAGCAGCCTAAAGAGGGAACGTCAGGGAGTCACTTAGGAATTGGAGCTGAGCAGCTCCTGGGGATTTGTTCAGACTGCAGCCCATCCACCCTCATGGCCCCCTTCCAGGATCCTGGTTGTTGAATCTGTATAGGATATTGCAGAGGCAATCTGCTTTCTGTTTGTTTTTGTTTTTGGCAGCACTGGGGTTTGAACTCCGGGCCTTCACCTTGAGCCACTCCACCAACCCTATTTTTGTGATAAGGTTTTTCAAAATAGGGTCTCAAGAATTATTTGCCCGAGTTGGTTTCGAAACACAATCCTCCTGATCTCTGCCTCCTGAGTAGCTAGGATTGCAGGCGTGAGCCACCAGTGCCCATTTTTTATGTTTGTTTGTTTGTTTTTTAGTAAAGCAGGAAAAATTAGGCAGAAATAGAAAAAGGGAGAGAGAAACATAGCCTGCTTCCCATGTAGGAAACAAGACACAAAATGGAGCCGGGCGCCAATGGCGCAAATAGTTCCAGAAACCCTATCTCAAAAAGGCCCAACACAAAAAAGGGCAGCTGGAGTGGCTCAAAGTAGTACAGTGCCTGCCTAAGGCCCTGAGTTCAAACCCCAGTACCACCAAAAAACAAAACAAAACAAAATACTTGGAGGAGTGGCTCAAGTGGTAGAGCACCTGCCTAACAAGCATGAAGCCCTGAGTTCAAACCCCAGAACCACAAAAAAAAAAAAAAAGCAGTTTATAGAACGGACAGCTCAGTAGAATACTCCAGTGAGGCAAAGTCCCACGCATCAGAGCTTGGGATTGCAAGGGCACCTCACCCCACCTTTATCTTGGAAGTCAGCCAACAGGGCTGAAGACTCGAGATAGCTGTGATTCTCCCACTCTTCTCTGGAAATGAGATTTAACAATAAACTCCATCACAGAAATAAACCTGACTAGCTACTGTTGCTTATTCAGCTCAAACCGATGTCACAGGAGAACATAAGGACTTGTACAGCGTCTGTGGAAACCAGGAGAACAGCCACAAAAGAGAAAAATCAAGGGAGCGTGGCACTAACCGATGTTGGTCCCCTCGTATTCCCCTGGAAGTCGTTTTGTGTGGCAAGGCGTAAGGGAATTACCGTAAGCATTCGTTATTTACAAGTTCACACTTTTGTGGGATTTACAGAAGCAAAATGTAGATGTTGAGACCTGTTAAGAGGTGGCCTCTTTTATTTGAAAATGTGTTGTCTACTTTAAGTTCATTTAGTATAAATATTATTACACCTCAGAGTTCAGAAACTTTGCAGTCCTAAAAAAGAAGGCTTAAGTGATGTAGTCATTGGCAAGGTTGCAGTGACTACAAAAAATGGAAATATTCCAATTAAGTCAATGAAAATACTGTGTCCCTCGTGCTGGGTGAGACTGACTTTGTTTAGCAGCACGTGTGTAGCAGTCATTGAATAATGTCACTGTCACTGGTTTGTTTAAGCAGGGCACAATTTATATCGGGAGAAAGTTAAAAAGTAGTGGAACAGAAAACATCTCTCACCTAGAGCACGTGGATTGTATTATATGACAACTACTTAAGATGTCACAAAGACAGGAAGCTGTTATTTGAGCCAGCACTTGCTAGAGAAGAACTTTTCCTATCTTCTGTAGATTCATTTAAACCTATCAGATGTTGTTGAGAAGAGTGTACTGACATAGAATGGTGTCATTTTGTAACTGTGTACTAAATATTAATATTTAATATTAATATCACATCATCTTTGCTAGTAACATTTGTTAGCCAGATGTCAGGTGAAAGGGCTGCACTGTCATCTCTGATCACTGTCACATACATGATTGCTTTCTCATTTTGATTCATAGAAGAGCACTGCAGCAGGAAACACCAGTAACATATGCTATTAAAAGGCCTCTTTCCTTTCCTAAATGCTTTGTTGTTTTGTCGGGCAGTACTGCAGTGGGAACTCAGGTCCTGCTTCGTAGGCAGGCACACACCTCTAGCCCTAGCAACAGTTTGGGGTTTTTTTTCTTTTTCTTTTTTTTTTTTTTTTTTGGTATGAGACCAATCATCCCTGGCTGCTAATGGGGTATGCAGACACTAGGTCTAGGTTTTTGTTTGTTAGTTTTTGGCAGCACCAGAGTTTGAACTCAGAACTTCACACTTGCTAGGCAGGTGCTCTTACCGCTTGAGCCACTCCACCAGCCCCAGACAGGTATAGTTAAGAAACAATTCATTTTGGGCTATTGGAGTGGCTCAAATGGTAGAGCACCTGCCTAGCAAGAATGAAGTTTAAACCCCAGCACTGCCTCCCCACCAAAAAGAAAGAACTTTTGTGTGTGTGTGTGTGTGTGTGTTACTGGGGTTTGAACACAGGGACTACACCTTGAGCACACTCCCCAGCCTGTTTTTTATGATGGGTTTTTTTCGAGATACGGTCTCAAGAATTATTTGCCTTGACTGGCTTTGAACCATGATCCTACTGATTTCTGCCTCCTGAGTAGCTAGGATTACAGGCATGAGCTCTACAGGCACCCACCTAGAAATAACTTATTTTGATAGGGGTAATGACAACACAGCCTTTAACAGCTACATTGTAGTCTGAATCCTGCTTCCTAGCAAGTTTGTTTGTTTGTTTGTTTTGCAGTACTAGGGTTTAAACTCAGGGCCTACACCTTGAGCCATTCCACCAACCCTTTTTTTGTGATGGATTTTTTTCAGATAGGGTTTCACAAACCATTTCCTCGGGCTGGCTTTGAACTGTGATCCTCCTGATCTCTGCCTCCTGAGTAGCTTGGATTACAGGTGTGAGCCACCAGTGCCCAGCTAGCTACAGTTTTTTAAGATGCAGTAATCCTCCAATTTTTATCCATCTTTCATGACCTACAAACCGCATCTTTAAACCCGTAAGTTTCCTTAGGTACCATACTTTTCTGCTTTTTCAAGCTTAGTGAGAAGGAGGAAGCACAACAAAAATTTCAGTAGAATAGTTTTATTTTGTAAACACTAATGTACTAAACTTGGTATACTTTAAAGCCAAATAAAGAGAACAATTTATTTTCTCACTATCCTATAATTTGGACAGGGCTCAGCAGAGATGGCTGCTAAGCCCTCCAAGGTCCTTCCTCCACGTGGTGTAAGCTGGGGTCACTCATACAAACGCATTTTGTCACTTAACTCATGTGCCTACCACCTCAGCTGGTGGCCTCTTTTATATGTGCCTTATATAGTGGCTGGAATCCAAGAGAGCAGAAACTGTGTCTTAAGTCCTGGGCTTGAAAACGCCAGTACGTCGCTACTGTTACATTCTCTTGCAAGTGCGAAGCCCTCAGTTCAAACCCCAGTACCACCAAAAAAAAAAAATAATAATCAGTTTAGGAGGGAGAGAAGGCAGGAGGAAGAGAGAGTTGAGCTCTCAATCCTGAGCACTCTGGAGCAACACTAACTTTTATTCTGAGTACATGACCAGTGGGTCCCGGGGCGGGGCGGGGCCAGGGAGGCGTGCCTGGAAACGAGAAGGCGGAGTCACATACAGCGCCGTCGTCAAGGAGACGCGCGAGCTCCCGGAGCCGAACTACAACTCCCAGCGGCCCCCGCGTTTCCGCTCGGCAAAGATGGTGGCGCGCAGGAGGAAAGGCAAAGGCGCGGCGAGGGACTCTAAGGAGGGCATCCCGAGTCCACCAGGCTACTCAGGTGAGCGGCACCGGGATGCGAGGCCGGGGTCCAACAGGCTTCGTGAGAAGTTGGGTTGGGACTGGGGGTGGCCGGAGAGCCGCAAGAGCAGCCGCGTGGTCGGGCGTGAGCCCTACGGCCCCGGTCCCGGCCTGGGCAGGTGGAGGCTTCGGGGCCCAAGGACCCACGCGGCTCCCGTGTCTCGTCGGTGCACTCTCCCGGGGCGAACCTGTCTCGGTGATGCACTCCTCAAGGGGCCGGCTGAGAGTTTCCTCAAAGAGCCACTCCAGGTGGCTCGTTGAACGAAGACGTCTGCCACGCCATCACCCTGCGTGCTTCTCAGTCGACACAGGCCTGGTACCTGCAACCTGCTGTTGGCTTGTTGGTTCCAACGAGAGCTTCCTGAGTTCAGGGCTGCACCTGTATCTCCACTGTGGAAAAGACGTCTCTAGCTCTGTGCAGATTGGCATTTGTGGAATGCTAGAGATTAACCGAAGAATCCCACCGGTATAGACAGTGTGAAGGTCCGAGCAGGGGGCTCCAACCCCTCCGTAGGGGTGGGGTGCAGACCAGGCTCTACTCAGGAACCGCAGTTTCAGCTAACCGCGGAGGAATGGGTGGAGGGAAGAGGGCTGATGCGCCGAGCAGAGAGAACAGGCATGTACGAGGCCGGGTTCATGGACACCACAGAGGCTGGGTGATGGCGGGGGCGGGGCGGGGGGGGGGGACGTACGGTGTAAGAAGAGGACACAGGGTCACACAGAGCTTCCAGCGGCAGTGAGGATTTTGGTGTTTACCCCAAGAGCAGAAGAACTGCTCTTCTGCCTCTCATAATTACCTGACTGCATCCTCTTCTCCTCCACCCACTTGGGAGCCCCTCTGGGCAGATTGTTCACTTTCAAAGCACACAGGCTTTGCTTGGGGGAGAGCTCAGTGAAGGAAGGATGGACTGATGAATGGACAGACAGATGGGACTGGAAAGTGACATGGCAAAAGGAAATTGTGTGAATTACATGCTGGCTCTGGGTAACCTGAACTTTACTGTCCCGCATCACTGTTTCCCTCTAGCCATTCCCATCAAGTTCTCGGAAAAGCAGCAGGCTTCTCACTATCTCTATGTGAGGGAACACAGAGTTCGAGAAGGCACCCAGTCTACCTGGCCTCAGAAGCGTACCCTTTTTGTCCTCAACGTGCCCCCATACTGCACAGAGGTAACCTGCTGGCAAATTGGCTTTTTAAAAATGTTTTTAAAAGTATGATTCTAAAGAGCACAAAGTTTTTTAATATATTAGCCAGAATTGTTTGAATTGCATGTTCTTTCCTGATTATAAAAGTGATACATGAGTGTGGGGGGGAGAGGGAGAGGATGGGGGGTAGGGGGGAGCAATGACCCAAACAATGTATGCACATGTGAATAAACGAATATAAGTCAAAAAAAAAAAAAAAAAAAACCAGTGATGCATGAGCTGGGCATGGTGGGCATGTCTATAATCCCAGCACTCAACAGACTGAAGCAGGAGGATCGTGAGTTTGAGGTCACTGGGCTACACAGTGAGACACTGTCTCAAAACAACAAAATTACCTCAAATTCTATCGAGACAGACCTTCTCCCCCCCTCCCCCACAGAAACTACTAAATTTAGCTGGATACTGGTGGCTCACGCCTGTAATCCTAGCTACTCAGGAGAGATCAGGAGGATGGTGGTTCAAAGTTCATGAGACCCTACCTCAAAAAATACCCAACACAAAAAAGGGTAGCTGAGTGGCTTAAGTGGTAGAGCACCTGCCTAGCAAACATGAGACCTGAGTTCAAACCCCAGTGCCACCAAGAAAGAAAGAAAAAGTTTAAAAAAAAAGCAGAGTGGTAACCTTCATTGACATGTAGCGTGGGGCGGGGCCTGGGCTGTGGGTGTAAGCTTGCTGCATTTCATAAATTGAAGGAGCCTGGATGATAATTAGCACATAACCCAGAATCCCCTCATACCGTCCTGCCATGGATCACCACCATCCTGACTGTTTTTGTTTTGGTGAGACTGGGGTTTTTTAATTCAAGGCTTTGCACTCTACTGCGTGAGCCACACTTCCAGTCCACTTTGCTGTGGCTTTTTTTGAGATGGGGTCTTACAAACTGTTTGCCTGGGCTGGCCTCGAATCTCAATCTTCCCAATCTCGGCCTCCCAAATAGCTGGGCTTCCAGAGGTGAGCCACCGACACCCAGCCTAACACCATCCTGATTCTAACACCATACATTTGGCTGTTTTTTGACTCAAGTGGTAAAACTTGTGTTGAAAATTAGAAAAACACCCACTTATCTTTTGGAGGATGCGGTATCTGCCGCCACCTTGTCCGTAAGGGAGCTGGTCAGAGGATGTGGTCCTGGGTTATCTGGGCTGGCAGACATGGACTCTGAGCCCTCCTGAGCCTGGCCCCTGGCAGTGCTGCCTGGGTAGGGGTAGCTGATGGGTGTAAGGGGGCTGTGGGGAAGGCACTGCCAATGCTCACACTCTGCTTCCCTTGTGCCATGGCAGGAATGCCTGTCACGCCTCCTGTCTCCCTGTGGCCACGTCCGGTCTGTGGAGTTGCAGGAAAAGCCGGATCTTGCCGAGAGCCCAAAAGAGCCAAAGTCAAAGTTTTTTCAGCCCAAGTCTGTTCCGGTAGGCCTCCAAGTACCAAGGTCCACTGGAATGGGGACATGGGGTGGGGCTAGGGTGGTGTCCCCAGTGTAGAAGGGGATGAAGAAGTCAGCACTGGGACTTTCAGAGCATTCCCTGTAGCCCTGGGCCAGTCTCTGTGGTGCGTGGTTTAGGAGGCTGTCAGGGTGTAGTTCTTCCCAAATGTGCTATATCCTTTGACTTCCTGCCTGGCGTCAACTGTTGCCCTGTGTTAGAGCTCAGACCATCTCTACTCACTGGCCTTCAGGGTCTCCCGAAGCTTCCTACCTGCTCCCCACTGAGGCAGTGTCCTCTTCAGGTTTAGGGCTTCTGCTTCCAGGAACTCTGTTTTTCCCATCTTTCCCTGGGCCCTTTGAGCTCACACCTTCTTCTAGCACTGGAGAGTCTGTCCTGGTGTACATGCCCCGTTGTCCATCCATGCCAGGCCTGGCTTCCATGAGCCTGCTTTTCACTGAGTCCCTCCTAAAACTGGGAAATCCCGTGTGTGCCCATCCCTGGAGAAGAGCTGAAACAGGTGGCCCAGCAGCCCTTGGATAGCTGGGAGCATGGCTGTCCCTCACCTGGACTTGGAATGACCTCTGGTCATCTTTGTGGCTCAGGAGCAGCCCAGTACCATCTCCCCTGGTCCAGCAGCAGATTAGGTGAAGATGGGTGGGGACTTTGTACGAGGTGTGGGAAGGACCCCCTACATGTGCCACCTCTCTTCCTCCAGGGGTTCCAGGTAGCCTATGTGGTGTTTCAGAAGCCAGGAGGAGTGTCAGCTGCTTTGACCCTGAAGGGCCCTTTGCTGGTGTCTACAGAGAATCACCCTGTGAAGACTGGCATTCACAGTCAGTACTACTGCAGTGTCTGGCACCTCCTTTCTGGGCCCTGGGTTGGCGAGGGAACCTTTCTAGGGGCAGCATCTGTAAATGCCACAAGCCTTGTCCCCTCTCCTTGAGGGCAGTCTGTGGGAGGTCTGGGCCTGAAGGCCCGTGTGTGAGACACATCAGGAAATATTAGTCTGAGCCTTTGGCAGTGGGTAAGCAGAGGTGAGGGCCCAGCCTGCTGCCACTAAAATCTTCTTAGCATCTGAACCCTGTGCCTTTGAGACTGCAGTTCTTGGGGCCCTGTGTCAGAGGATCCCAATATGCCTGGTTGTTCCTGGATGGGCCCAAACGTCCAGCCTGAGGCTCGTGTTTCTCCTTGTCCCTCCCTTAGAGTGGATCAGTGACTGTGAAGATTCAGTGCTTGATCCTGAGGCGCTGAGGGTCGAGGTGAACACATTCATGGAGGCATACGACCAGAAGATAGCTGAGGTGGGGATTCTGTAGGGACCACAGGTATCACCTGCATTGCCGTGGGAAAGTGGGGCTACAAGTACTGCAGTGTGACTCCCAAGGTGGGGAGGTGGTGGCAACCTGTCTTTGGTCACCAGTGGAGTCTAAGCTCCCTTTCTTCTGCTGAGTCCTTGGCCACCTGACTGGAGTGGAGGAGGAAGCAATCTGTGCCCCTGTACTTACCGTGGGGGCTGAGAGGGGCAGCAGGCACTGTTTGCCCAAGGTGGTTCTGAGTATGGGAGGAGGATGTGGAGAGGCTGCCCTGGAGGCCTCAGGCAGGCCAGGAGCACACAGCCCCACCATCAACATGGTGTTCTTCCATACAGGAGGAGACTAAAGCCAAAGAGGAGGAAGGAGTGCCTGACGAGGAGGGCTGGGTGAAGGTGACCCGTCGGGGCCGACGGCCAGTGCTGCCCCGGACAGAGGCAGCCAGCCTTCGGGTGCTGGAGAGGGAGAAAAAGAAACGTGCCCGCAAAGAGCTGCTTAACTTCTATGCCTGGCAGCACCGCGAGACCAAGATGGAACGTAAGGGACACCCTGGAGCGTTGATGGAGGGAGGGGGTCCTTAGGCACAGTGCCCACAAGCTCTTGGGTTAAGCATGTCAGCCTGCCCACACTCCTGTGCTCCCCAGAGGCATCTGCCCAGTGAGGGTCCCAGGATTATTAGTGCCTGTAGAGGCTGCTGGGGTAGGGACCTCCTGAAGGTTCCCTGAGCACCTAGTGCTGGAATCTGTTACCTCCAGCCAGCCAGAAATCCAACTGCAGACGGCCTGCGTGGGGATAGGTAGGGGCAGGGCAGGGTGTCTATGTGGAATGCCATTGCCTGGTCTTCCTGTGCACAGAGCTGCTTCCTTGTGGTCCCAGAGAGTGTCCTGCCCTTAGCCAGGGCAGGGGTAGACCAGCTGCTCTACCCCCTGTACCTGCTCCTGTCCTATCCCTAGACTTTGAGCTCATCTAGTAGCACTCTAGCAGCCCACTGTCCCTTGGGCTCCAGACCCCACCCACCTTTTAACCTGGGTCACTTGACTGTCCAGTTTGCAGTGAGAGGGTGCTTTATGCCTCTTCACTTTTTGTGGGTTCCTCTTCTCACTGGTACATTTTTGTGAGACTAGGGTTTGAACTCAGGACTTCACGCTTGCAAAGCAGGTGCTCTACTGCTTGAGCCACACCTCCAGTCCATTTTGCTCTGATTATTTTGAAGATGGGGTCTCATGAACTGTTTGCCTGGGCTGGCCTCAAACTGAGATCTCCTGATCTCAGCTTCTCAAGTGACTAGCATTACAGGCATGAGCCACCAGTTCCTGGATTCACTGGTACATATTCACCTGAAAATCCATACGCATCAGCGCCTGCCTGCAGCCAGTAGTTACCCGGTTCCCTTTCTTCATAGGATCCCAACCCTGTCCAAAGTTGGGAGGATGGGGGTGCTGGGGGGGCCAGGCAGTGCCCTCTATAGGAGTAGTGGGCAGTTCCAGCACAGGGATACTGTCTCACCCTGCCCTGTGACCTGTCACCCCCAGACCTAGCACAACTGCGTAAGAAGTTTGAGGAAGACAAGCAGAGGATCGAGCTGATGCGGGCCCAACGCAAATTCCGACCCTACTGAGCCAAGCAATGGTGCGAACAAGAGGGCCAGCGGGGCCTGTGACTGTCTGCAATGCTGTGCTCTGGGGAGCAGGCACCAGGCCAAGGGGCCATTGTATCCATCAGCCCCACTGGCCGCCTCAGGTGCCCAGCATCCTGCCCGGCAGGAGGACTTGGCCCTCAGGAAGCAGCTCCCTCAGGAAGCCAGACTAGCCATATGGTCCCCCTCCCTCCGAGGAGAAGCACCACCTGGAAAGCAGTGGGAGGCAAGCATTTTATTTCCATCCAGGCTGGCAGCAGGGCAGGCTCCAGAAGCCATTCCAGCCCCTGCCTACTTCAGCCATCTCCAGCTCAGTGTGGCCTATGAAACAGACCCTTCTCCTCCAAATCTACACTCTGTTCTCTTCTCGAAGTCAGATGATAAGGTCAGAATCTCGTCTCCTTCCCCCAGCTCTGCCATAGTATTCTGTGCCCATCTTGGTTTTCAAGACCAACGAGGCCCGTCTCCACTACCCCTCTTGTTGGCGGCTGACAGGTGTGAGCATGAGGCTTCCACAGCCTGGGCCCAGAGCTGCAGCCGGGCTGGGACCCTGCCTTTGCTCCGTAAGGAGGAGGTGATACTGGCCACGCGGTGGGGCTCACTCATGTGGGCGTAGTGATTGCCTGGGACTTCCACAAACTGGAACCGCTGGACAGGGGACGTGTGGTGAGGTGGCCAGAGAAAATAGCACTGCCCACTCAGCCAGCTGAGTCGGGCTGTCCCATGGCCTCCTGCCTCCAAGTGGGTAGGGGACCCCCACAGGCCCCAGTCCATTCATAGCAACCCTGGGGACTTGGGGGCCACACCAGGAGTCTGGGCCACTGAGTTGTAGTCCAAGCTGTGGAGGGCCGCGGTCAGGGTGCTGCCAGTTCTGACAGGCAGGTAAGGTCCCTTGAAGGAAGACCAGGTTGGGAGCACAGGCAGGTCCCAGACCTGATCCCACCGGGAGAGAATGCCACACAGGACCACCCTCCATGATGACATCAAGATGTGTGCTGGGTGCTCCCAGGTCCCAAGCGGGCTGTCACAGTCACAGCGTAAGCCCATCCCCATCCTGTGGCCAGCACACCCACAGTAGGGCTGGTGCTGGGGAAGGGTGGACCAAGGGTGGGACAGTCTGACAGGTGGACTTGGGCCTGCTTAGGAATATGTGAGAACATAAAGCTGAAGATTCTGCCAGTGAAGGCCTCCCTTTCCTGATTGGACTGGACAAACGTGACCCTAGGTCTCCAGGGGCCCACTGCAGGGCGAGCAAAGCCCCAGAACTCCTCAGGGACATAGGCTGGGGTCAGCCCAGGAGTCCTAGGCAAGACAAGGACTGGGGGGATGCAGCCCAGAGCAGGTGATGGCCTGGCCCGCGTACCTTACCTCTTTCAGGGTGGCTCTCATGGTGTCCAGCATGAAGAGCAGGGGAGCCTTGTCAGCGTCGTTCTCTCTTCTCACGTCATAGTAGCCTTGCCTGGCTCTGGGAAGTGAGACGTTGGGGTTCCTCCTAGGACCATCTCCCCTCGGTGCTCTCCACTCTGCCTGGGTTCCAGGTTTAATTCGAGGTTTAGTCATTCAGTATGAGCTCATACTTAATGGCCAGAGGCCAGGCACAAACAAAAGCGCATAAGATGTGGCCTGGGAAGTAGGGGTTGCAGGACTTGCTCACTGTCACAGCTGTGAACACCCAGCTGGGATCTGAACACGCTCTTGAGGTCAGGCTTAGCTTTACTTTTTATCTTTTAAGCTTTATTGAGGTGCAATTTAGATAGCACAGAATCCATCGATGATATATAATTCTGTGGATTTTTTTTTTTTTTTGGTGGGACTGGGGTTTGAACTCAGGGCTTCTAGTTTGAAAAGCAGTTGCTCTACCACTTGCCACACCTCCAGTCCATTTTGCTCTGGTTATTTTGGATCTTGGAGATGGGGACTCGTAAGCTATTTATTCAAGCTGGCCTTGAACCGCGATCCTCCCAATTGTGAACAACCAGCACCAGCTTGCTTTGTTTTTTGCAGTGCATGGGATCCAACCCAGAGCTAACCCAATATGGTGTTTTGTTTTGTTTGAACCCAGGACCTCGTGTGTGCTAGGCAGCACACTACCACTTGAGCTGTACTCCCAGCCCTTCCATGTTTTCTTGTGATGCTGGGGCTTAAACTTAGGGCCTTCACCTTGAGCCACTCCACCAAGCCTATTTTTGTGAAGGGTTTTTTAAGGTAGCGTCTCTCGAACTATTCATGATCCTCCTGATCTCTGCCTCCTGAGTAGCTAGGACTACAGGTGTGAGCCACTGCTGCCTGGCCACCTTCCATTGTTTTTAAGTATAGATTTGCCTTGACTTGTGATGGGGTTACATTATAATAACTTTGTTGAAAATGTAAGTCAAAACTGCATTTAATGAGCTGGACACTGGTGGCTCACGCCTGTAATCCTAGCTGCTCAAGAGGCAGAGATCAGGAGGATTATGGTTTGAAGCCAGTCTGGGTAAATAGTTCATGAGACCCTATCTTGAAAAAAACCCATCACAGAAAAGGGCTGGTGGAATGGCTCAAGGTGTAGGTCCTGAGTTCAAATCCCAGTACTGCAAAAATAATATCCCTAACTTAGATACAGCTTACTGCAACACATCGTGGCTTGGAGCTGAGAGCTGCAGTCACTGCCCTGCCCAGCATGAAGGGAGAGGATCAGACCCCACATTGCTAGCCCAGAAAAAGATTCAAATTGAAAATCTCCAGCACAGTTTCTGCTGAACCCTTACTGCTTCCCCCCAGACGCCTGTGTGGTACAGTCCTTGTCTCTGTCTCCGACAGCCCAGCTCTCCCTTGCTTTGCCTTCCTCCTTCCATTGACCTGCTGGGGAGGGGCTTCCTGAAGATGAAGTGGTGTGTGTGTGTGTGTGTGGAGGGGGGGAGGGACAAGCATGGCCTCATACGGGGAGAACTGAAATGGGGGTCATGCCTGGCTCTCTCCTGGGGTCTTCTTAGCACTCAGCGTGGACTTACTTGATCAGTAGTATGTGAGCCTGCAGCCTCCGGATGGAGTGTGCGAACAGCTCCATGCTGATGAAGTCGAAGCTGTGCTCTGGGTGCAGAGACAGAACATGGTGAATCCTCCCCATAGAGCACCATGCTCTCCTGTAGGTGCAAAGCCCATCTGTGGGGCTGACTGGGCCCTGGTGAGGCCACCTTAGCCATCCATCCCAAGACAACCCAGTGCTGCTGCCACCTTGTCAAGGCCTCTTTAACTTCCGTTGACCAGACAGTCCTGCCTCAACCTCCCTAAGTCTGTTCTCTCTTCTGGGTTCATAGCTGCCCACCTGGACTCCATTCCCAAAACCTTTTACAGCTGATTGTGGTTGTTTAACCGAAGGCAGAGATTTCAGAAGTTAGTCACCACTCCAAGCCCCCTGCCCAGGGCATGTTGCCCTGTGGCCTTGTTCAGCCAGCCTGGACTCAACTTGGCCAGGCAGAGCCCACCTACCTTCAAGGGATGATTCCCATAAGAAAGAATACCCTGGTAGAGGACTTACCCAGTGTGCTTAGACCACAGTGCAGAATGAGTCCACCATGATTGTTCCCAGCATCTGCTGGCCTCCTCCCTGCCCCACCACGTACCCCTCTCCCCTGTCATTACTGATATGCAGGGGTCTGTGCTGTCAGACATGGTGACCACCAGCCTCATGCGCTACTGGGAAGCACCAAGCTGTGAGGTCACAGTAGGTATGAGGAAGACTTGGTAGGAAAAATGTAATCACCTTTTATGTTGATTGCCTCATTTATTTACTTGACAGTACTGGGGTTTGAACTCCGGGCTTTGTGCTTGCAAGGCAGGTACTCTACTGCTTGAGCCAAGCCCCCACCCCTATTTTTACTTTTTAAATATGGCTTCTAGAAAATATAAGTTATGAGACTGGCATTCTACTTCCACTGCACTGGATGCGCTAATCTGGGGAAGTCTCAGAATTTTCTGTGTTCAGAGTTCTCAGCACACAGAGAGAGAGAGGAGGAGCTTGTAGGTGTCGAGTGGATAATTCAAGAAAACTCTTGGGAGAAAGGGAGGGAGAGAAAGGGAGGGAGGTTCTTCCATTAGTAGCCAGGAAGGAAGTCAGGCCTGCTCCTCAGGCTAAAAATGGCTTCAGGTGACTTGCTAAAAGTAGGTTTCCATATCACCCACTCTCACGAGTCCCCGCGTCTCACTGAGCAGAGGCTGTGACAAGGTGCTGAGGGCTGCCTCATACCAAGTATGCAGTATACACACAAAAAGTGCTTTTGGAGGAGGGGAAGGAATGCCAAAGGCTAGAATTCAGTCACGGTCAACAGGAGATGGCTCAGGACCCAAAACTCAGGCTTCAGTTTCACCTTTTTTTTTTTTTGTGGTATTGGGGTTTAAGCTTAGGGCTCCGCACTTGCAAAGCAGGCACTCTACCACTTGAGTCACCATCTTCAGTCCATTTTGCTCGGTTATTTTTTGAGATGGGGGCCTCTAGAACTCTTGACATGGATGACCTTCATTTTAAATTTGTCCCAAGGGAAGGACTAACGGACGCTCCTCCACCATGTCTGCAGATGTGATGATTCAACCCGAGTCAAGTTTTCTGCAGCAGTTCCCCACAGGAGGACACTAGAGCTTTCACTGGCTGGCCACCTGTCTCCTCTGTCTGCTCTGTCCCTCCCACTCTTCCTCCATATCTCTTGATCTTTCAGTTTAATTTTCAGACCCCCATTTTTTAAGTAATTAAAGCATAACTTATAGCAAAGTCCAGACTGAACAGTCAGTTCATGAGGGCCTTTCACATATGGACACAGATCAAGGGGCCCAGTGGTGCCCTTGCCTGAACTGGCCCTCAGGAGTCTTCCTTGAGGGGAGCTGTTCTGACCTCCAGCCCCTCAGGTTAATCTTGCTTCGTTTTGAGCTACATACAGAATCACCTGCAGCTTGGTTCATCAGTGAGCGCTAAGATTCTTCCATCAGCAGCCATTTGTGTAAACCCAAACAGAAAGCCCCAGTCAAGGATCTGAGCTTATGAGCAAGCACACATGTGTGAACACACACACGGGATGGAGGTCTGCCATGGGGCAACCATCTTTTGCTTGGGAACCTGGCAGGTTTCTATCCTGAGATAGAAAATAAGAGCAGTCCACTGAGGAAAGTATCAGATTTAATCATGGACACATTATACTTCAGGACTTTCTGAAACATGAACAAATATCCAAAAAGCACTTGGGAAAATCGTCTGAATGCATTAAAGGTCTAGACTTAGAGCTCTTAGAAGAAAACACTGGGACAAATATTCATGGCCTCATATTTGGAAACGATGTTAAGGACCTGACATCAAAAGCACAGGCAACAACAAAAACTAGATAAAGTTGACTTCCTTAAAATGAGGTGCAGCTGGGGTGTAGCTCAGTGGTAGAGCTACATGCTTAAGGCCGTAGGTTGCTCCCCAGCACGGCATTGAATTAGAGGCTACCAGTGCTGGAAGGAGTTAGCGTCTAATGGGTTTTATTGGGGATGATGAAAAATTTGGGGTATAGATTTAGTGATGGTCACACAACATTGTTAATGTGCTTAGTGGCTCACGTGTGTACTAACAGTTAAAATGCTAAATATTATGTATGTGTTTTGCACATCTATTTTATGTATATAGCTTAAAAGCAACTTTTAAGAAGGGAGTCCACAGGCAAGCTGTAAAGGAACCAGGAAGACAGCAGTACTCACCCAACTGATCCTCCGGTCCCTGTTCAGCACCAGACCTGCAGAAAGCATAGAGCAGGGTGAACTTAGTGTCACTGTCACCGGGAAGTACTTGTCCTGAGACTAGAAGGATCAAAGTTTGAGGCCAGCCTGGGCAAATTGTTCACAAGACCTCATTTCCAAAATAACCAGAGCACAATGGACTGGAGGTGTGGCTCAAGCAATAGAGCACCTGCTTTGCAAGTGTGAAGCCCTGAGTTCAAACCTCAGTCCCACTTAAAAAAATATATATATATATATATATATCAGGAAGACTCTGGTGATGCACTTCTGTAATTCTAGACAGAGATGGTTCTCAACCACCTCCTAATGTGGCAGTAGCTGGGAATGGCGGTGTGCTTCTGCCATCCCAGATACAGGGGAAGCATAAATGGGAGGATTGTGGTCCAGGCAGGCTGGGGAATAAAGGGAGCCCCTATCTCAAAAATAACCAAAGCAAAAAGGTCTGGGAGCATGGCTCAAGAGTCCCTGCCTGGCAGGTATAAGCCCCTGAGTTCAGACATGAGTACCATAAAAAACAATCAACCAAGTAAGCAAGCAAGCAAGCAAACAAAACCCAACAACAACAAAACTTTGTAGGGCAACACTGTAGGGCCTCAATAACTGAAATCTTCAGGTGTTGCTAAGTGACAGCCAGGCCCACTGAAAGACAGGAAGTCCAGAGAGGGGCCAGAGTACAGACAATTGGTGATGACATGGGCAGCCTCTGACGTCAGTGGGACAAAGATAAAATGGCATTAGGACCAGGAGTGTAGCTCGGTGGTACGGCACTTCCCTAGATGCGTAAATTTCTGTTCTCGCCATTCACCGGTGGCTCACACCTGTAATCCTGGATACTCAGGAGGCAGAGATCAGGAGGATCACAGTTCAAGGCCAGCCCAGGCAAACAGTTCCCAAGACCCCATCTCTAAAATAAGCAGAGCAAAATAGACTGGAGGTGTGACTCGAGATAGAGCAAGCACTTGCTTTGCAATATCAAACCCCAGTCCCACAAAAAAAAAAATTCTGTTCTTTATAAATTTCCTGGTCTCACATAGCTTATCCCAACAGAAAGCAGACTTAAGTCAGATGAGAAAAGGTTTGAAAGTATATTAATTTGAGAGTGAGGTGAGGAAGAAGATGGATAGGGGTGGGAAGAGACTGAGATTTTCTATTCCTGTGGTTTTCAAACCACATGATTTAGCACCTGCTCAGAAAAAGCAGTATTAAATTAAAAAAACAAAACCAAAATGATGACTAGGCAGGCATTTCTGCCCAGCCCCTTTGGAAAGAAGTCAGCCCCATGGGGATGTGCAGGAAGACGGGGGAAAGAGGGCCTCAGGCCTCCCCGCTGGAAAAGCAATGTTTGAATATAGATGTGGCTCTGAGAAAAAAGCCAATTATGGAAACATTAAGGAAAGCTATTTTCTGTAATTATTAGGTTTTCCCCTCTAATTAGAGATCGTAGAACTCTTAGATGATAAATTTAGGTGATAAATGTGCTGTTTAATTGTTGGTAGAGGGGCTAGCCAGGCACTTGCACTCAGCATGCTTAGAGAACCATGTAATTGTGAGATTTTCTGGTTGCTACACTCTGATCACCTCGGCCTAACGAATCCAAGGCAGAGAGACCTCTGGGCCACCCAGGGCTCCGACCATGACCTCCCTGCCCAGATGACGGGGCTGGCAGGACCTGGGGCCACCCAGGTTCATACCTCCCTCTTTCCTCATGCCTGGGCTCTGTCTACACAAATGTTAAAATATTTCAAAAAGGAGGTTCTTTTGGCTTGTCCTCCAAGATACCTGGAATCCCTAATCACATGGTTTTCTCTGCCCTGAAGTCTTGGTCCTTCCCCTCCTTGACCTTCGAAGGGCCCATTTTCTCACACACTTGAGTGGCCCAGGTAGGGCTGGTAGGCTCCTCTGGTCCCACAGCATGTGCGATCCCCACTCAGCAAGGAGCTCGGTGAGGCAGGGGCTGGGCCTTGCTTCTCTCTCGGAGTCTCAGAGTTAGAGTCCATGCGCACCGTGCTGGGGGTTTGCACTAACCTTGCTTAATCCCCTCAACAAACACTGGAGCTGGGTTAGTCAGGAGGGTGGACAGCTGGGACCGCCCTGGCAAGAGGGGGGGAAGACACAGGGCTGGGCTAGAGGGAGGCCCCCACACCAGCACCCTGTCACTTCTCATGTGGCCCTAGCCAGCCAGCTTGGGGTGCGGAACTCCAAGGGTTTGAAACCCCTGGAAAGGTGCTTTCTAGGAGAGCAGTTTTACTGAGGATGCTGTCAGAGCCCTGGATTCCTACCTGCCGGCCACAGCCAGGAATTAGAGACCATGTCATTCAGTCCCCATTGGCCTCCTCCCTTCCCACTTCCTAACCCAGCTCCTGAGTCCAGACACACCTAGCCTTCCATTGCCCTTCCCCCACACTTGCCAAATAGATTGTTCTAGAATGCATCTTTGCCCTGCCTCACTCTGGTGGCCTTTCAGCAGCTCCCTTGCACTTTCAGGACAGAGCCGACAGCTCCTCCCCTCTGTCCTCCTCAAAGCCCCCGTTTAGGTTGCTGCAGCTTCCCCCACCTGCCTGTCACCCCTTTCCCTCTCCTGCGACTCTGCCTGGTATCTCCTACTCCGAATCTGGAAGGCAGCCCTTTCACCCCATGCACCCTCGGTGGGCGCTGATCCAGGTAATCTGAGAGAGAGAGAGAGATGAAGAAAACTGTTTACAAAATGGACTATGACCTTCTGACTTATCTTTCTGAAATGACATTCTTCCTGTTATAAAACTGGGGTATGAGACGAAGGAAGGACACAGCTGGTCACCACCAGGTGGTCCCCTCACTACCAGCAGAAAACTCCATCTCAAGATATCCTGGGGTATCCCTAAGGACCAGGCTCTCCAGCAGGAGAATGTCTGTCTTAAATCCCAGTGAATCCTCTGCTTCTGGAGGCAGAAGGCTGGATGTGTGGCTAGCCAGCACAGTGCCAAACTCCAGTATGCCAAAAAAAAAAAAAAAAGTTCAGAGGTAGAGATCAGAAGGATTGCAAAAGTCACCCCATCTCAACAAAGCAAGTTGGAGGTCATGGTATGTGTCTGCAATCATAGCTACGTAGGAGGTGGAGGTAGGAGGATGTCAACAGCACAAAAAGGACTGGAGAGTGGCTCAAGTGGTAGAGTGCGTGCCTAGCAAGCATGAGGCCTTGAGTTCAATCACTAGGACCATTAAAAAAAACCCTTCAGCCAATAGTGACAAGGAAGCTCCTGGTCTCTGCCACCTCACTTGGACCAGGGAAAGGCCTGAACTGGGATGACCCACATGGTGCAGCCAGATAACTGCACAGAAGAAAAGGTTACTGGGCTATGCTGGGGCCTCCAGCTCAAAATGTTCCCCACACCGAATGTTTTGGTTTAAACGCACGAGTCAAACAAATCCTGCCACCAGGCTTGGGCTAGGGATTTGAGCACCCTGGGGCTGGTGGGGTTGGGGAGGGATGCTTCCAAGGGCCAGATGCTGACAAAGGACTGTCCCTTTGTCCTTAGGAGACCCAAGCCCAACTGGAAGAACACATCAAGCCAGTAATGGTATAGTCTGGGTTGATAACAATGTAACTCCTGGCTCTCTCCCCAGTCTGGCACACACACCTGGTTAAACTGAGCTCTGGCCTCAAGGTTCTGACATTGTCTGGAGGTCCCTTGGGCCAGAAGTGGATGCCTATGACCTGCTCCCTCACCAGTACCCTGATTAAAAGTCACCTGCTCCTATGTGATCCAGACCTTTGCATTTAAAAGAGCAAATGGGCCAGGCCTGTTGCTGCATGCCTATAATCCTAGCTACTCAGGAGGTGGAGGAAGGAGGACCCAGAGTTCCAAGCCAGCCTGGGCAGATAGGAACATGTCTGAGAAACAAAATACAAATACTCGGGAAGCATAGGTAGGAGGATTTTGGTTCTGGGATGGCCCAGGGAGGGGGAAAAAAATCCCCACAGAAATCAATGATACTGTATCTAAAAAGTAACCTAAAAGTAAAAAAATGGCTGGGGGCATGGCTCGGGCCTAGAAAGCACAAGTCCGTGAGTTCGACCCCTAGTACTGCCAAAACAAAAGGGAGGGGGGCTGGGGTGTAGTGGTGGTAGAACACATGCTTTGCACACATGAGGCCAGGTCATATGTTCAATCTCCAGCACCACAAATTTTAAAAAACAAAGTGAGCCAGCTGAGCCTCTGCATCATCCTGACTGACCTCGCCACTTGGCTTCTCCATGGGCTTCACCTTCTGCTGCCCTGTGGACACAGCACAGCCAGCCAGCTCTCCCTCCTTGCTGTCAGGAGCCAGCCCTGCCACACTTTGATCTTGGACTTCTGTCTGACCTTCAGAACTGTGAGGGAATAAGTTTTTGTTGTTTAAGCCACTGCTATGTGACACTTTGTGACATCTGCCCCAGGAAATGAATAGAGTTTGAGGGTTCAAGCTGGACTGCAGAGGAAAGGGAGGGAGGTAGACCTGTCCTCTGCTGGCTCTGGAACAGAAGGTGGACTGTGCTCCAGGCAGAAGGCACCAGCCTCTCAAAGCCACCCATCCAGGGAGCATGGGTCTGGGTTAGTCTTCTAGGTTAATTCTGGGTCCCAAGGGCCATGGCTACAGCAGAGGGGTTGTCCCCACACAGGGCTCCAGGCACCTGCCCACTCACCTTCTCCTCAGCGTCCACCCCACCCCCCATGTCCCTTTAGCGGCTGGTTCACCTAATCGGATTCCCTAGGCTGGCAGGGAGCCTGTCTCATTCAGGATTAGCCCACTTCTGTGCCTGGGGCCCTCTGGGTTGGCCATCGGTGTGGGGTGCACAGAAGCCTGGGCCCTCAAGCTCCCTCCGCGATAGGTTTTGTAGGTCTAAATGTCAGTCTGAGGCCAAAACTCTCAGAAACATATTTCATTTGACTCTTACAGTGTTACCAGTTTCTGGATTAGTTATCAACACCTACAAGTTTACAACTCAGTGGATCAGTGGCTTCTCTCAGCAACTGGAAAGCCTAGTCACACTGGGCCAGAGAGAGTTCCTACATGTTAACACTGGGCTGTCCTGCTACAGTGTGTTGACCTGTCCCCACCACTCCCTACTGCCTCACTCCTGACCAGTGGGATGAATTGCACAACTTGCCCAGTGCCCCACAGACACTGGGGTTTTGATCCCTCCTGGACACATGCATCACTTCCCTGGATCCTATCAGCACATAAGTGCAACACTCTCCAAACCTGAGAAAACCAGGGGAGGCTAGGGGAGGGACTTTCCCAAGGGTACTCAGCTAGCAGTGTCAGAAACTGAACCCAGGTCTTTGTGTCCAATTTGGTGTGCTTGCTTCTCACATCTCCCTCCAGCTTTCACCTCACCTGAGAACAGCTTCCAGGCCCACCCTCTGCAGCAGGGTCCAAGAGTCCTTTCAGGGCACTCTGTTCCCACTGGGTTGTCTGTTTACCTGCTGACTATCTGTTTCTCCTAAAATCTACACTCTCTGCCCGGCCTCCTCCTTGCTCAAGCTTAGGGGACATGGCTTCCACACAGTGCCTTTGAAAATGGCTTCCTCCCCCTCCCTACCACCCCAGAAGAGCCAGGGGTCCTGGCCCCACAGAGAGAGTCAGTGTGGCTCACTGCTGCCTCAATGGGACCTGCACCTAGGAGACTCTTGTAAAGGTTTTCTGAGGGGTGGTGGAGTGGCTCAAGTGATAGATCACCAAGTAAGTGGCCTAGCAAGTGGCCTTGAGTTCTGCCAAAGATAGGGTCAGTTCAGCCAAGATAGGGTCTCATGAACTATTTGCTCGGGCTGGCTTTGAATGGTGATCCTCCAGATCTCTGCCTCCTGAGTAGCTAGGATTACAGGCATGTGCCACCGACACCTGGCTCTCTCTCTGTGATCTGGAAACCCTCTTCAGAGCAAATTCGTCCCCCAAGACATCCTTGCAGCCTCCCCACAGGCCCAGCAGGACATGGCCATGACATTTACCAACTTTATCCTAAGACACCTGGCCAGCCTCCGCACAGAGGTTGGCTTTCTGGGCCACCTGCAGTAGCTGTGTGATCCTGCACCCTCAAGTTTCTCCTGGATGAGATGAGGCCTTGGAAGATTCAGTGAGGCACTGTTTGCAAAGTAGTCAGTGCTAGGGTGAAAAAGAAGCCTTAGGATTGGACCCCCCACCCTTGCAGGCGGCTTACTGACACCCCACCACCCAGGACCACATCTAGCCTCAAGGAAATGACAAGCCACCACTTTGCCAGGGGATCCAGAGCTGAGCAACTCATCTACCTAGTTACCACTTACCTCCTCTAGCTTCCCCTAGCCACGATTGACTCCACTCCCCTCCAGAAGAATTTTCCCACCCAGCGGGGTCTCCCCTCCAGACTGCTCACCTGTATCTACTTCAAGTCTGGAAGCGGTGGTGGGCTCCAGCTCTCTTGCTAGAGTCCCCCTCCCCGCAGGGGTCCTTCCCCAACAATAAGCCCTGTGCTGGCCTTTGAGCCGGCTCTCTGCCTCTTTCATTTCTAACACTCAGTACTTCCCCTCGGAATCACTCCTCAATAAGAACAGTGATGATCTGCAATGGCTGACAGAGTCCCTTACCTGTGGCCACCTGTGTGGTTCCTCTCTGCAGGAGGATTTCCCCACACTCCTCACCCACATGGCTGTTGTTCTTCAGGAACCTGGGGAGACAGAAGGCTGCTGAAGGCCTTGGCCTGGTGGGGGGAGGGGCAGATAGGAAGGAGAGGAGGGTGGTGACAGGGAGGTCTTGGAAGAATGCACATGTCCCATGTGTAGACAGCATGTTTATCGCAGTGGTGTGTGTGCATGTGACTGTGTGTAGATGTGCACGTGTGTGTGAGTTTTCGCTCCTTTAGACAATAAATACATATGTGTGGAGCCCTGCTGGCTCACTGCCAGCACAGATGGAAATGTCACAAAGGCAGCCCCCAGGCTCAAAGGCCAACAAGGCGACACAGGGAAGTAGACTCTTCTAGGATGATGTGTGGTGAGGAGGGGAGAGGAAACCTGCCAGCAGAGGCTGTAAGCAGGGGTGCAACATCAGCAAGGTGGGGGAGAAGTGTAGGTAAAAGGAACCCCGGGTTGGGGGCCCAGAGGGAAGAGGTGAGGAGAGAGTGAACATGAGGGGAAAGAAGAGGCTGTGACAGCATGGGGACAGAGAAGGTGGCCTAAGTGAAGGGCAGAAGAAAAAAGTCCCCCACTGGGACATCTGAGCACTGCCAGGGAGACCACGGAGAGAAGCAAACCTGGGTTTGCAAGGGGGAGGAGGAATGTCCTTTCCTCCCCGCCAGAGGGTTACCTCCCAGTCCCCACCTGCTCCCAGCACCCACCCCTGCAGCATCTCCTGCGGGCTGACCACGCTCGAGGGCTTCTGGGAGGCCTCCACCTGCAGCGTGTTCTCTATGGCTCTCCGCTTGTAGGTCAGAATGCTCTCCATTTCCTAAGGAGTCACCATTGGCTGGTGGCAGGGCTCCAGATTAGGAGTCCCAGCCCCTCTCCCAGCCCTGCTCTCTGCCCTTAGGTGCCCCTCAGCTGCACATCAAGTAAGGGGTGGCAAGGATCAGCCCCTCCCAGTTAGCCCTGTGACACTCAGACACAACCAGGTGAGACAACTGGTGGGATTAAAGGAGAGCGGGGGACAGAAAAGGAATGACTGTAAACTGCCAGTGCATTGCAAGAATGTAGTACTAGGGTCCTCTGCCCCAGCAGGCAGCTCAGGCTGGAGGATGACCTGGTCTCAGCTGTGGGAGGTGACACCTCTCCCCAAAAGGGGACAGGGGAAGGCTGAGTGATCACCCAGCCCACCTAGGAGGCCCTGGGGCACCATGCTTGTCCAGTCAGCCAGCAAATGCAATAAGGAGAGTGTAAGCGACCAGTGTTCTGGAACACAGGTACTGACTCTAACCCACAAGCTGTCACTTCACGCGCCAGACACAAATGCTTACTGTGCACCAGGAACAGGTACACGGTGATCAAAGACACACATGGTCCTTGCTCTTATGGAATCTGTGGTCATTTTGTGGACAAGAAAACTGAAGGCGATGAGACACTGGGTCACACTGAGAGGCTGAGCCCTCGGGGATAGGATGACAGAGGTCAGAGCTGGCAGGGGAACTCCTAGGGCATTGAGTCCAATCGCCTTACTTTTCAGGTAAGGAAACAGGCCCAGAGAGGCTATATGACTTGCCCAGGGTCACACAGTGGGTAAAGGGACAGAGCCAGGTCTCACATGCAGGGTCAGGACTGGTTGTTGTTACTGGTGGTAGTGGCCGGAGGCGTCAGTACTTTTCCCGTCAGCCACACTCAGGGCCGCAGCTGTGCACTGTGTGCACAGTACAAAGGAAGTGGGCTGAGTGGAGTGCAGCAGGCTCCAGATCCTCCCCTACCCCCTTCCCTGCCTGCCTCATGATCCCAGAATCTGCAGATCCAAGGCCACACCCAGGGCTCCCAAGGGGCCCCACCCCCTCTCTCTGACTACTCCTAGGGTCATAAGTAGCAGAAGCAGAACGCTTCCTTTGTGGAGGCCCCCAGGTTCCTGTGTCCACCCCTGCTACCCGCTCCCTAGTGTCCACTATCACAGGAGACAGGCCTTGCCCCTGGGGCCTGGACAAAAAGCCTTCCTACATTAGAGTCCAGGAAGAATGGCATGGAGTCCAGCAAGATGAGTTTGTCCACCATCTCGGGGAAGGTGCGGGAAAACTGTGATGTGACACCAAAGGGGAGGCGGGGAGGGGGGGGAGAGAAGGCCGAGGATCCGCATTGCCTAGGGACCCTAGCGTTTTCTGAAACATCTTTTAGACTGTGGGCAGGGCGCTGACCAAGCAGCCAGAGCAAGAATCTTCTACCCCTTAAGTGCACCACCCCTCCCCCACTCGGCTGCCAGAGACATTGGACTGCAAAGCACCTTGTAGTCTACAAAGCAAATCGCCACTGGCTTAGGAGGCACTGCTACTGACACTGTGTGCAGAGACCCTTCCTGCACCAGGTGACTTCCCTGTCCAACTCGGGCCCACCCCACAGGACCCCCGCCACCGCCCTGTGGCCATGGCACAGCAGATACTCACCATGCCACCCACAGTGCCACCTGGGAGACAAAAGAGCAGTGGGCTGACATCCCTTTGTTCTCCACTCCCAGATCCCAACCCCCACCCCCACCCCCACCTGCTCCCTGGGCCAGGGCTCTGCATCTCCAACAAAGGGCCCCTCTCCAGGCCTCCATGGTACCTTCTCAGACTTGACACTCATAGGTCACTCTTCCCTTTCCAGGCCAGAAAACAGGCCAGTTGGGACACATGTCTCTGAGGCCAGAAGGCACAGTGCTCAAAGGCCAATGTCTATGGACCCCCTCATCTCTAGTGATTCTCTGAAGCATAGGGAAAGATGCCAGTGCACCACATTTCTCCCTCCCTCCCAGCCCCAGATTCCTGCCAGATCCCAGCCAAAGCCTACTCACCAAAACTGTGGCCCATGAGGGAAAAACGAGTCCATTTCAAGGCTGAAAGCACATGGAGCCAGGTCTGCAGGGCCGCAGCCTCACCACGACCCCTTCCCTGCAGTCCCTGGGCTCAGGAAATCCCTCCAGGCACCCGGGGTACTTCACCCTGGAGACTGGCTTAGGGGGCTCCAGGTCCATGGAAGGGTCCCCAATGGAGAAAGCAAGCTCTCTCATCTGCTCCAAGTCATCCTAGACACCCATTCCCAGGTCAGCACTGCCTCCTGATTGCCACACCTCACCCCAAGGATGAGACAGGCGGTCCCAGTCCCCACCCCCACACTCTTTCAGCCTCTTGCTCACCTGCCACTACTCTTTGAATCTCACTCACAAAATTTTGGTGGTAATATGGGAGACCTGGGCTGTAATGGGACGAGAGTCCATGACCCCCAAAATCCATGGCGACATAATGGAAGTCTGAGGTGCGGAGAAAGAGAAGGGGTCTACATCAGCCATTTCCTGCCCTCTTTGCTCACTCCGCAGCCCTTAGCTTCCCTTCAGCCCCAGCCCACCTTTCGGAGAAGAGGGATGAGCCTGTCGAAGGAGTTCGCGTTGTCCAGCCAGCCATGCAGGCAAAGAACAGGGGGGCCCTGCAGGGAGCCCCAGGCTTTGGCTGCAATATGGCCCCAGGGCACAGCCAGCTTCAGCTCTGAGGACAGACCTGAAAGACAGAGCTAGTCACTCATTCATGAGGCTGGCACTTCTTGAATCCCTCACTCCGTGCCCAGGCACATATCACATTAACCAGGTGCTAATGCTCCTAGACAGACGGACAGACCTGGGTTTGCAGACACTGAGAGGGAAAGACAACTGGGTCTCTTGGGTGGGCATCACAGGTGTGGCCTACCTGCACTGTGGTGCTTAAAAGAGTGGGTTGGGGCTTAGCGGACCCTGCCACTGAGGGCTGTGTGACCTTGGGCAAGTTCCTGAAACCTTTCCTTTCAGGAGCCTGTTTCCTCTAAAATTGGAGTAGACAGAGTAGAGTGGCCCCCTTAACTATGGGGGATTCATTCCAAGACCCCCAAGCCCGAATCCTTGCATAGTACTAAACCCCTACAGTGTATGCTATGTCTTTTCCTGTGCACACCTTTGATAAAGTTTAATTTATAAGTTGGGCACAGTAAGAGATCAGCAACAATAATTAATAATAAAATAGAACTAAGCCAGGCACTAGTAGCTCATGCCTGTGATCCTAGCTACTCTGGAGGATCGAGGTTGGAGGTCAGCCAGGGAAAATATTTTGGTCAGACCCCACCTCCAAAATAACCAGACCAAAATGGACTGGAGGTGTGGGGGCTCAGACAGTAGAGGAACTGTTTGTGAGCACCTGCTTTGCAAGCATGAAGCCCTGAGTTCAAACTCCAGTCCCACGCAAAAAAAAAAAACCCAAAAAACCACCAATAACAATATGCTGTAATAAAAGTTACGTAAACGTGGTCTCTGCCTCTCAAATACAAGAGATCCTGGTGGGATGGGGTACAGTTGGGGAATTCTATCACACTACTCAGAACAGCTGGCAACTTAAAACTGGAATTTCTATTTAATATATTGGACCCAAGGGAACTATGAATAGGAGGTGTCTATCATAGGCAGTATTTTCTAAGCCTTCTGGAAGGGCCAGATGGGGTGCTGAGCACTTCACACATCTAACTCCACATCCTCGGTGAGTTGGACCACTGTTACCCTTATTTCACAAAGCAGGACCCAGAGGCACAGGGAGATGCAGTACACACTCAAGAGAGAGGATTCAGGGCAGGCCCCGTGACTACAGGACCCCAGAGAGGGCAGGTTAGCACTGTGCTGGCTGAGGCCGCTCTGAGCAGATGTAGCCCAACGCCGACTTTTTCACAATGCTGGCTCTCCCTGCCTGGCTGGAGACCTGTGCGCCCCACACGGCCGCGCGCACGCTCCTCAAACCGGGGGGCTTCGCAGGACCCTGAGCGACTCCGTGAGGCAGTGTCCTGGGGCCTCTGCCATCCAGCGGGTGTAGCTCTGCACGAGGGCAGCAGGAATAGACGCAACCAACACCCGGGGGGGAGGTCAGTGTCCCTTCCCCTCCACCCAGTCTCCTCCAGGGCCCCGAGTAGGTGCGCAGGGGCGTGGGTGCTCGCCGTAGCCTCCCCCGTCCCACTCCGTTCTAAGGGCCCAGGTGGGGCGTCTTCACCCATCGCTCTGGTCCGGCCGTGCGCAGCAGTCACTCCTGAGGCAAAGGTCGCAGGAGGAGAAGGACGCGAGCAGCTCAGATCCCGGCCCAGATAACTTGACCCCAAACTCCCGCTTCTGCAGGCCCCGCCCCGTGCCAGGCCCCGCCCCTCCAAGGCCCCGCCCCGGAGCCGGCCCCGCCCTGCCGCTGTCTCCCTGGCGCGCCTGCGCGGGACGCCGCGTTGTGGTGTGGGAGCCCACGTCCCGGGAGATGCCGCCTGCCCCCGGGGGCCGCACCGAGCCAGGGGCCTCCCCGTGCCCGCCTGGCGGAGGCTGTGAGCCCCGGGGCGGGTCTGTCAGCCTCCAAAATTCCCCGCTACACCCGGGGCGGCGTCGCAGGAAACGAGAAGGCTCTGCTTGACTCGAGAGTGGCGGGAGGAACCCTGACCCCTGGACGGTCCCGAGGACCGTCCCCGCCCCCTGCACGGCTTCCGGAGCTGGACGAGGCCCGGGGAGCCCCGCAGCGAGCAGAGCACCCCCTGGCTCCTCGCTGGCCCGCGCGGGAGGGCTAACAGTGGGGCGACTGTTCGTGTTCCACCCGGACCTCGGATCCTCAACAGCGTCTGACACACACCAGCCTTGCAATTTTTGTGCAGGTGAACAAATGAATGTATAAACGGGGGAGGAATTTATTTATTCATTTAATTATTTTAAGGGCGTATCTCACAGACGCACTTTATTCATGCCACATAGAAAATGATACTCCTACAAGTGTACAGCATTGTTCCCTGTTCCCATCTAGCAAAGCTTGCTTTTGATTTATAGGCAGAGAGACGTTTCATCCTGTGTGTACTCAAGGGATCTGGTTAATGAGGAGGATGAGCAGGTGCTCAAAACTTTACTTCTTTTATCAGCACTCGCGATCTCATAAATGATGGAGCTCATCAACCCCATTCCTCCTGGTAAACTTGGGTTTTGTAGGGCTTGGTAGGGATCCAGACATTTCTTAATAATGCTTTGAAGCATTTCTCAGGCCAGTGGCTCAGGCCTCACCAGACCCCACAGTTGGCTAGAAAAGGTCACCAAACACTCCTGGGGAGGATTTTAAACAATATCCAGTCTGAGAAGGATTAAGACCCGAAAGAGAAGCCAGGAGTAGTGCTGCACTCCTACGATCCCAGCACTCAGGTGGCTGAGGTAGGAGGATCTCAAGTGAGAGGACAGCCAGGTGCTGTGGCTCACATCTGTAATCCTAGCTACTCCAGAGGCAAAGATCCAGGAGGATCACTGTTCAAATCCAGCCTAGGCAAATACTTCGCCAGACCCTATCTTGAAAATACCCAACACAAGGAAACAGAGCTGGCGGAGAGGCTCAGCAAGTGGTAGGAGTGTCTGCTTAGCAAGCGTGAGGCCCTGAGTTCAAACACCAGTACTGCAAACAAACAAACAAAAAAATCAGATGAGAAGACAGCCTGGAGCCTGGGCTACATAGCAAGACTCTGTTTCAGAACACCCTCCAAAAAAAAAAAAAAAGTAAACAACAGACAGAAAAACCCCAAGTTATGAAAGGGACGTTTGGGGTGAACAGATCCATGCACTGAATCCTACAATAGAGGAAGAAGTGGTGTACCCTTGACTCTTTGAAAGTGGCCAGTCTAGGACAAGCGAGAGCAGGTGCTTCCCTTTCATTCACTACTGCTTGCTGGTTTGGAGTGAGTGGGATGTGATCCTCCAGGCCAGCAGTCCAGCAGGACCGGTAACTGGTGAACCACAATCCGGTCCACTGAGGACAGAGAAAGATCTTGGCAGTGAATTCTCCCCAGGGGTGGCAGGAGACCCAACCCTGGAAGTCAGAGGACAGCAGGCTGCAGAAGTGGGGTCTCGGTGGAGCCACACTACCTGGAAAGTTGTCAGTGGCCCAGAGTGGACCAGGGGCTGGAGAATGGGGGTGGGGAGGCCCACACCAGGTTGTGACAGTTGAGTTTGGGCCTTACTCAGTGTGGGGGGCGGGTCTAGGGAGGCTAGGAGCAGGGGATGGGGATGTCATCGTTTCTTTAAGGGGAAGCACATGTGAGTCATTGGTTCAGGAACTCTTTGATTTCCCATGGATATGTATCTTTAATATGTTATTCAAGGGGTCACAGATGTCAGGTGACAGGCACTGGGGACAGGATACCTGTCAGGCAGGTTGATCTGTTTCCTCTTCTGCCCTGAGGACCCACTGCCACCCATACTTCACTGAGGATGTCACATCTACAGTTGGGTAACAGACTCTGGCCTGACTGCTAGGTGGAGGCCTCCCGCACCTTTGACCTCGAACTCCCTTGGTCCAAACTGGCCCCTTCAGCAGAGGTGGCCTGGCTCACTCCTGTGTCTCTCAGGCTCGAGCCTCAGTCACCCACTTCTATCCTGTCCTGTTCCTTACAGTCACATCCTGACAGTTAGCCTATCTCTTCCTTCCTGCCTCACCCACTTCCATTCCTGTGACCCTCTGGGCTGGGTGCCCATAACCCCAGGAAGACAAGAGAAATTGCTTCCTACCACCCTCTCCACCCCACTCCACTTACAGCCCTACTGCCACAAGCTCCCTCCAGAAACCCTAGATCAGATCTGCTCTTTCCTGCAAGGGAACCTCAGGTGCTTCTCACTGCCCTCTGGAGGGATGTGGATTTCTGGCCCTGATATTCCGTGCCCTCCCTGGGGCCCTTCTCTCCTCCTTTCCACCACAGTCAGCTCCAGGAGTCCTGGGCTGCCTTCTCAGCACATTGCACCCATTTTTCTCTGGGCCTTTGCTTCTGTTGTTCCTTCAGTCCAAAACACAATTCCCTTTTCCTTTTCCCATTGAAATCCTACCATTCTTTCAAGGCCAAGTTCAAAGTCACCTGTTTCAGAGGTCTCAGGCCAACACATCTTGTTTATGCTGTTGCTGTTACTTGCTTCTCACTCCCACCTGGTGTTGCAGCCACTGTCTCTCTGGCTGCATCCCAGCCCCATAGCATGTACCAGAAGAGCTTGTACACAGCAGGAGCTCAATCAGTGTCTGCTGAGTAAACAGGTTGAGGATGGCTACGATTCTCCCCCAGGCTCTCTCCAGGGGCTCAACAAAAGCAACATGCAGTGGGGGAATTCATTAGTAATTTTAAGGTCTTAGGTTCTTACCTCTTGTTTATGCTCCTCAGGTTAAAATGGTAGCCACATCTAGAGAGATGCGAGGGCATTAAGCAAAGCTCACAGACGCCGCTAGGGGAGACAGGAGTGTCCCAGGAGTCCCTTCCTCCTCAACAAGAGGAAGCCCTCTGCTAAGTCTGAAATAAGAACACTCCTGACATAACACAGTGTGCTACCCGGACTGGCTCTTGGAAAGAAAAAAACATTGCTGAAAAACTGGGGGAAGCTAAATAAATCCTGGAGTCTTGCTAGCAGCAACAGACCAGTGTTTATTTCCAGCTTCACATTGTGGCACATAACACCACAGGAAATGGAATGGAGGGCATGAAGGAAATTGTGGATTTTTTTTTTTTTAATGGCACTGGGGTTTAAACTCAGGGCCTCAGGCTTGCTAGGCAGGCACCCTTACCTCTTGAGCCACTCCACCAGCCCTGTCTTTTTTTTTTTTTTTTTGTGGTTCTTTTTTTTTTTCATTTTTCTTTTATTATTCATATGTACATACAAGGCTTGGTTCATTTCTCCCCACTGCCCCCACCCCCTCCCTTACCACCCACTCCGCCCCCTCCCTCTCCCCCCCACCCCCTTGATACCCGCAGAAACTATTTTGCCCTTATTTCTAATTTTGTTGAAGAGAGAGTATAAGCAATAATAGGAAAGAACAAGGGTTTTTGCTGGTTGAGATAAGGATAGCTATACAGGGAGTTGACTCGCATTGCTTTCCTGTGCATGTGTGTTACCTTCTATGTTAATTCTTTTTGATCTAACCTTTTCTCTAGTACCTGTTCCCCTTTTCCTATTGGCCTCAGTTGCTTTTAAGGTATCTGCTTTAGTTTCTCTGCGTTAAGGGCAACAAGTGCTAGCTAATTTTTTAGGTGTCTTACCTATCCTCACCCCTCCCTTGTGTGCTCTCGCTTTTATCATGTGCTCAAAGTCCAGTCCCCTTGTTGTGTTTGCCCTTGATCTAATGTCCACATATGAGGGAGAACATACGATTTTTGGTCTTTTGGGCCAGGCTAACCTCACTCAGAATGATGTTCTCCAATTCCATCCATTTACCAGTGAATGATAACATTTCGTTCTTCTTCATGGCTGCATAAAATTCCATTGTGTATAGATACCACATTTTCTTAATCCATTCGTCAGTGGTGGGGCATCTTGGCTGTTTCCATAACTTGGCTATTGTGAATAGTGCCGCAATAAACATGGATGTGCAGGTGCCTCTGGAGTAACAGTCTTTTGGGTATATCCCCAGGAGTGGTATTGCTGGATCAAATGGTAGATCGATGTCCAGCTTTTTAAGTAGCCTCCAAATTTTTTTCCAGAGTGGTTGTACTAGTCTACATTCCCACCAACAGTGTAAGAGGGTTCCTTTTTCCCTGCATCCTCGCCAACACCTGTTGTTGGTGGTGTTGCTGATGATGACCAGCCCTGTCTTGTGAAGGTTTTTTTAAGATAGGGTCTTGTGGCCTGTTTGCCAGGAGCTGGCTTTGAACTGTGATCCTCCTGATTTCTGCCTCCTGAATAGCTAGGATTATAGGCGTGAGCCACTGGCGCCCAGCAATTGTGGACTCTTGTTGCGATTTTTAAATTAAATCTATACAGGCTACTCAGAAACTTTTCACTTTGTAGGAACAATGTTTTATTATTTAAGTGAAATGTAGACATTTTATCACCACATAGGTTCCTTTATTCTTCACTTCTTTGCTGTGTCATGTATTATGTTTACATGCATTAAAAACCATATCAATTTTGTCATAGTTTCTTTGAGCCATCCAGCATTCTTCAGAGAATACAATGAAAAAATAGTCTAAAATGATAAAAGGAGAAAGGAAAATAAATGAATAAATAAATAAATGAAAGAATAAAAAAAAATTAAATCTAAAATTACATCGAAATTTAAGTTTATTTTTGTAAAAAATTTAGATGAGAGCCAAGTGTGGTGACTCACACTTATAATTCTATCCTTTGGGAGGCTGAGGCAGGAGGATGGAGAGTTTGAGGTCAGTCTTGGTTACATAGTAAGACCCTGTCTCAAAAAAAAATTCAGATGAGAAAATTTGGTTTATAATTTAAAACTCATTACATATATGAGGGACTAGCATGTGCTTTTTTTTTTTTTTTTTTTTGGTACTGGGGTTTGAACTCAGGGTCTGCACCTTGAGCCACTCCACCAGCCCTGTTTTGTGATGGGCTTTTTTGAGAGAGCGTCTCACAAACTACTTGCCCGGGCTGGCTTGGAACTGTGATCCTCCTGATCTCTGCCTCCTGAGTAGGTGAAATATAATCTTTAATAAACCTATTTTGCTCTGTTCCCACTTGTGTTAACTTTAATATTTTTTGCTTCTCAACACATGTATTTAAAGCTTTAACTTTCTAAAAATATTTAGCCATGTTTCCATGTAATCTGATGTAATGTTTTGCTTTTTTAGTGGGACTTGAGTTTGAACTCAGGACTTTATGCTTGCTAGGCAGGTGCTCTACTGCTCAAGCCATACCTCCAGTCCATTTTGCTCTGGTTATTTATTTTTGGGGACAGGATCTCTTGAACTATTTGCCTGGGCTGGCCTCAAACCTTGATCCTCCCGATCTCAGCCTCCCAAGTAGCTAGGATTATAGGTGTGAGCCACCAGCGCCGGGATTTGGCATCATGTATTTTCATTCTCCTTGAATTGTACATATTTAACCTTTTGAAGAGGTACTGCATCTCCATGGTTCACAGGTGAAGCAGGTAGGTATACAGTGGGTCTTACACCATGTTGTGCTGCTATAACAGAGTACCTGAGACT